TTGTACATATAAACACTATGACATACAATTTCGGGGTTGGGATCATTGTTAATAGTAGAGAGAGAAATAATCTTTAGAGATGTTGGTTTTACTAGTTTATTAAGCAAAAGAGGTATATTATTGTGGTTTTCCATTGGAGTTTAAAGTTTGCATAAACATTGGTAATCCCACGATTTATATAGCCTTGAACCTTGGACATGATCACTAGTCTTATCCATTTAAATGACAATTCAAAGATGTTATCATTACAAGGTTCCCATCCATCTCACTACACAATTTTTAAGAATGGTTTCGAATTTTGGAGTCGGCTAGGATATTTTGAAGTTGGAATTTGAGCAAACTCAACTTTTTTTTTTAATACAATAACTCTAAATTGTAACCAACAATTCAAAAAGATTCTCAATCTATATCAAAAAGTAGTGCTAACATGCCTTTCGATCATATGAAGAAAACGAATATTCTAATAACACAAAACCTATCAATGTTACCAATAAATACCACTTGATAATAACTTTGACTTTTCCTCCCAACTCCTTCACGCCAATCCTCAATCTTTGTATTTGAATTTTCATTTTAATAATTTCATATCTCATTTTATTGAGTTCTTCAATCAACTCTTATGTTATTTGCTTTCTTTTATTTGCTTCAATTCTTATCAAACTTGAATTTTCTCTTTTAAATATCTCAACCAACTTCATTCTTTACTTTAACTCTTCAATCTCAATTACAACCGACTTCCCAACTCCACACACATTCTAGGCATCTTCAATCCACTTTCAAAACCCACAATTGTCAATCTGAAATTTGTAATATTTCGTTGAAATAAAATATCAAATATGCGATATGCATCCTTGTAACAAGAAAGAAATTTCAGTAATTAAAAACAATAAATATCTTTCAATATGGTCGACAAAGAAAATTCTTCACTAAGTTCATTTCACTTTGTGAAATATATAGGCTCATTTCTATCTTGTGCTTGCATAAAGGCATCTTGAAGGCTAAGGAACATATTTTTAAAGCTTCATCCACATTAAATCGACTACCCGTAAATGCCATATGAAGAAATTTTTTGGAAGTTATGCAATTGTAATGATGGGTTTTGGTTTTGAAATTTTATGAGGAGAAATGAAATGGTTGAAGATTCGTCTGGGGAGGGAATTGGTATTGGTTGAAGATTCATGATTGGAGAGAGAGAGGAGTTCTTGTTTGTCATTAGAGATTTTTTAGAATTTGATTTGTGGATTGTATGGTAGAGAATTTGTTTTAGATGAGGATTAGTGGCGACATGTCATCCGAACGACCTTCAAATTTAATTTTTCGAGTCACGTGTCATTCTAGATGGATCGTAATCTATAATGATATCTTACATGTCATGTAACATCATATGAACCCGAATTCTAGATGAAAAACGCTTATGATGGTAATATGGTTACCGAAAGTTTATTTCATGCATTTTTCATCTATTTTTAAAAAGACATGTGTAAATATTAAAAAAAAAATAAGATTTGTGATTTTATAATACAATAAATTATTTTAAAATAACTTGGTGAAAGTTTCACATTCTTCAAAATACTACCCAACCAAGTGTGGGTTAAGCTTCTAAACACGGTGAGCTAATTTTGCTTAACTAACATTACGCCCATTGTTATTTGTAGGTAGACATGGTAACGGTTCTCGAACCGTCGGTTAAGGTTTTACCAAAAGGTGAAACCTTAACCAAACCTTCTATGGACGGTTTCAATTTTGGTTTGAAACCATAAAACTGACGGTTCAACATTTTTTTTATTAAATGAAAAAATAAAAAAAATCGAACATTTTTTCTCAACATTAACATTGAAACGAAAAAACTTCGTTTGCATAATGTATAAATATTATAATATTTTTTACATTATAATGTATTTTACACAATAAACAAAGAAAAAAAGAAATAAATAAAGAAGGGCTTGAACTTAATTTTTATAAACACTACAAAAATTAAGCTTCCTATGTATTCTTTTGGGGTTTAGAGGAATCAAAGCTTACGTAGTTCTCTTTTACATTTCAAATTACCCCTTTACAAATTACATCTATGTTCTATATAGTTTCGCTTAGTTACTTTCTTGATTGAAAGTTTCGGCTTCAAAAGTTTCTATTGTTGTGCCGTCGGGTGTTAGATCCATACTTTCTTCATTGAAATCATATTGTTTTTGTTCTTGTGTTCTCTTGTCGGCTCTTATCCAATCATCCACGCATACTTGGACTTCAAGTGACTCGGGAGCCAATTGTGATCGCTTATCATCCAAAATATTACCTCCGGAGCTAAATGCTCTTTCAACTAGTCGTTGTTGAAGTCGGCACAGCAAGTATTTATCTAGCTATTATTAACAAGACTCGGAAAGGTGCTTGCATGTCTTTTCCACAAATCAATTACTTCAAAATCTACACATGCATTGCTATCACCAAACTCAAACACATTTGTTAGATAAATATCAAGTTTTGAAAGTGGAGCCCGATGATCCTCTTGGCCTTTTTGTCCTTTCCATGGCTATAAGATAACCTAGCTCTAACACGTTGGCTACTTGATGATGATTGTAGCATAGGTGGTAAAGAGGAACTAGCATGTTGATCACCCACGAGTTAAAGACATTTCAATATATAAATCTCTAGCACTGTTTTATAATAGAAGCAGTTTCTATTTCTACATTTTTATCAAATAATTACAAATACTCGTAATAAGTATTCAAAACAACGAGAAAGACCTTCCATTTTAAATCTAGGATCAAAGACTAAAGCAACAAGATAAATAGGTGGAATTGTTTCATAATAACTTAACCATTTTTGTTTCATTATTTGAACAATGAACATGTAAAGTTGGCATATCTTGTTCTACATGATTAAAAACTTCGACAATATTAATTGCTTCAATCATAAATAAATGTGAAGTTGGTTGATAAATGGCACTAAAAGTGTATGTTGCATTGTTAAAAACACTTAAACATTTCAAAAGTGGTTCGCAAATATTAAAATCACTTTGACAAATAAAAACAGAATCAATATTTTCCGAAAAAAATGAGCATAATAAATCTCAATATTCAAAAGACTCGCCTAAGTAAGTCATAAGTTGAATTTCAACGAGTTGGAACATCTTTTGAAAATCGTCTTGGTTTTTTATTTCTTTCTTTGTAAAACTTTCCCCATGATTTCATCTTTTGGGGATATGTTCATAAATATTTAGCAAAAGCTTTAATTGGCCTAACAATATCTTTAAGATATTCCAAACCGGATCGTACGGATAAATTTAAAACATGACATACGTATCTAATATGAAAAAACTTACCTCCAAGATGGGGTTCAAAAAGTTCTTTTAAAGACTCTACTCGAAGCATCATTAGAACTAGCATTATCAAAAGAGATTGAAAATATTCTTAAAGGTAAAACATATTCATCTAAATTCCTTTTTAGTATTTTATATATATTTTGAGCGGTATGTTTATCATCAAAAACTCTATATGCAAGAAGATGTTTTTGCTTATGCCATTCATTATCAATCCAATGACAAGTTACACCCATAAAAGAGTACGTTTTCCATTGATCGAACATATATCGGAACATATAGAAACACGACCATTCAAATTTGCAAATAATATAGTTAATTCTCTTTTTTTATCTCTATATAATTTTATAACTGTTTTTTTTTAAAGAATGTCTTTCAACTTGCTTGAAAGCGAGGATTCAAAGTGTTAGAACAATAATCACTAAAACCCATTTTTTGACTAAAACTAAAAGATAAATGATCAACACATATCATTTTAGCCATTTCGTCTTTATTTTTTTTATCGGATATCCGAAATAAAGAGGAAGATTGAGAAGCAAACCCGGATATTTATGTCCGATGTCCGTCATTACGAAGTACGGATGGATGCTTTTTCTCCAAGTGGGTTTTGAATATTCCATAACCACCTCCTTATTTGAATGTGTATTGCTTGTTGCGGTAGTTGCAAATCACGGTAAAAACACCTTTTTCTAACGGAACTTTTGAAAAATGAATTTTGAAGATGTCGGATGATCCGGGTGTAAAATTTGATTGTTGTTGTTGCTTCCCTTCTTGATTTTGATTGGCGGTATTACTTTGTTGTGATGTCATATGTGAACTTGAACTTGCTATTTTTTGTAGTATAAAACAATAGAAATGTAAAAATTTAAGAAGTATTTGGAGTATAAAAAATATTGTAGGATAGTATTGAGAATTATAGACTTAAGAGTTTAAGAGATTGAGAGAGAATGAGAGATTGAGTTTTGAGAAGAATGAAAAAAATTGAGAGTGAAAGAGTACTTATAGAAAAGAAAAGAAAGAAAAAAAATAGAAAACGGTCACAAATGTTTGTGACCTTTTTATAAACGGTCACAAACATTTGTGATCGTTGAGTATGTGACAAACGGTCACAGACCGTTTGTCACATAATATATATATATATATAAAGTCAAAATTTAAAAATTATTAGGCTTAATTTTTTTTTTAATTTTTCAGTCCAATAGCTACCGTCCATCCCATATAAAATTGGTTTTTTTATTTAAATTTTTTTGTTTTTTTTCGACCCAATCTAATTTATTAGGAAAAATGTGAAACCGTCGGTTCTACGGTTAATTGTCGATTTCGGTTTCATGATATCTTAAACCATAACCAACCCATAGGTAGCCGGTTACGATCCGATTTTATTAAGGTTACGATTTTAACGATTTCGATTCGGTTTTTTAACGGTTTAGTTTCGATTCGGTTTATGGTTCAAACCGAAACGTTACTATGTCTTTTTGTAGGTCACATGCCCGTAATTTGCAGGACAGTTTCAATTATTTTCAACAAGCGCAGAAAAAGGAACACTAGTGAGTCAGTCACGCCAAGTCGGCAGAGTAGTGGGCCATTGAAAGCAATACCACTTTCTCTCTCCACCTTTTTGTCCTCTCCCAATCGATTTTCCTCTTCGCCAATTTAGGGTTTCAAAATATTGAAATGTGGAGGCACAATGGAACAACAAATTGAAATAACAATTCCAATTCAGGCTGAAATCCCTCGATTAGGGTTTCAATCTCCCCCTTCTCATACGGATTCCTCTGTGTCATCTGATCTTGATCAGACGGCCCAGGATGACCACAGCCATCTTCACCAAGAGCTGCAAAACCAGCTCGATTTGAAAAAGGAGTTTCAGAATTCTAATGATTCTCATGAAGAGGAGGAAGAAGAAGACGACGACGAGGAATTTAAGAGTGAAGAGAGTGATAAAAAGAGTGAAAATTTTGATGAGAAGGAGAGCAGTGAGAAGTTTGGTGATGTCGGTGAAGATTTAGAGAATAAGAGTGAGATAAGTAATGACAATTCTAATAATAATAGAAGGTTTCATCAGTTTCCAGTGAGACCTGAATCAGAGGATTGTGCCTATTATATGAAGACTGGGACTTGCAAATTTGGAGCTAATTGCAAGTTTAATCATCCCTTTAGAAGGAAAAATCAGGTACAACTTCTTTTGTGTTTCTTTTCCCTTGAATTATTATCTGGGTTTGCGTTTTTATGTGTTTATATTTTGTGGGTTTTGTGTTGTTGGGGGTAAATGTAGTGTGTCAGGAGAGGTCTGTAGTTGCTGCTTATTTTGGCGTGTATTTGAATGTGATATTTTGTTGTTATTTGCATCTTTATTTTTATTTATATCGTGGGTTTACTGTTGTTGGTCTAAATGGAGTATCTTTGGCTGGTGAGATCTTGCTTATGTTGAGTGTGTTTATAGTGTTTATTTGGTGGGTGCGAGTGGTTTGATTGGTTGATTTTGTTGTTGTGATTAAGGGATTTGGGGATAAAGGAGGGTTTTGGGGTTTGTTGAAAATGGTAAATGTGGGTGGTTGTGGTATTTTTGTAAATTGTATTCATTTGTTAACATGGGAAATGAGGATTATTGAAAATGATTCTGGATTTAATGTTCTTGTCATGTGAAAATTTGTGTCGTAATGAATCAAGGGACTTGATTTTTTTTTTCTTCTGTTTCTTAAGTAAGCTTCAAGAAATTATGGGTATTTTACTGATTTAAGATCTATTAGTTGGATTTATTTGATTTGGTATTGTTAATCATTTGTTACAAGGCTGTGAAGGAGAAGGTGAAGGAAAGGGAAGAAGCAACAGAGAAGCCTGGCCAGACTGAATGCAAGGTTATTATTGTTGTGCATTGATAATAATTTGAGGTTATGTTTACTCTTTTTGGTTTTTCTGTGTCTTTTGCATGCCATGCTCACCGTGGGAAAGCATTTCCTTTATTTTTCTGATGCCGTCCAGGTTTCTGTACCCTTTTTGGCAACTTACTCTAAGTTAAAATGTGCTAAATCGCAATCTTGGTTTTACAGTCTTATTATAATTTCCTTTAATTTCACAATGGCTTAATTTTTAGACATTTGGGATAGAATAATGTTTCTTGCTTCTTTATGGTTTGTGGATGCAAAGGTTTTGTAGGATTTTACCAGGGAAACTTGCCTATGCTTTTGGATTGAATTGTATTTCTTTTCTTTCTTGCAGGTTCGTATTTCTTATTGTTTGACTTGCTGATCTACATTCTTCTCTTTCTAATGATTTTTGTTATAGAAAATATCTATATGTTGTACTTGTGCACCCATTACAATTTAGATTTCTGTTAATCTGGTCAAATGTCAGGGACTCATTTGATAGTTGCTTTGTCAAGTTGTTTTCAGGCGTGCTTTTTATTTTCTTGTTATGTATGAGTAAGTTGGTTTTAGTTGATGTGGGCAATATTTTTTTGATAGTTGCTTTGTCGAGTTGTTTTCAGGCGTGCTTTTTATTCTTTATATGTATGAGTAAGTTGGTTTTAGTTGATGTTGGCAATATTTTTTTTGTTGAGTTCTGTGTAATATGTCTGGCTAAAGAATGACATTTTGTTTCTGTATTATAATGATTTCTTGAGCCTGCTACAGTACTACTTGAGGACAGGAGGCTGTAAGTATGGAAAAGCTTGTAGGTTCATCCACTCAAGAGCAAATACTTTTTCAGTGCCCCCATTGAAGACACCGATGTCATCAATTTTAGAGCTGAACTTTCTGGGCCTGCCAATCCGACCGGTATCTCTTCTATGCATACTTTTTTTTTTTTTCTATATATATATATATATATATAACTCACACACCCAAGGTTCTTCATATTGCTGTTGTATGCGCATTTGGTCTTCAAAAATTGCCTTTGGTGATAAAGGTCCAAGTTGAAACTTCTGTCCATCCATTATCAATGAGTACGGTTCTTGAACCCATTATGAATCACCTTCCTATCATATTGCCATGGTCTTCTAACAACATATGCCCAGCATACATAGGTACCACATCACACCATACCTCATCCTTATATCCACCAATGGAGAAAGAAACTAATGAAGAAAATAATATTTGGGAAAATAATTTCAGTATATTTTTTTAATTACACAACTATATATATATATAGTCTTTAAGATAGGAAAGAATTCCTAAAGAATAGGAAGATAGAATAGGATCCTTACAGAATAGAAAAGAATATACAAATATTTCCTATCTAATTATATCCCGATATTTCCTACATTCCCCCTCAAACTGGTGAATATAGGTCTTCCATTCCCAGCTTGCATATATTTTCCTGAAATGCATGATTGTTTAATCCTTTTGTTAGAACATTCACCAACTCGAAGATCCGTAGGAACATATGGAGTGCAAATTAATCCATTGTCGAGCTTTTCCTTAATAAAATGTCTGTCCACCTCTACGTGTTTAGTTCGGTCATGCTACACTCGGATTGTGCGCTATACTGATGGCAGATTTATTATCACGAGTAGAGCTTCATTGGACCACACCATTCAACCTTCATATCTTCCAAGATGATTTTCACCCACAATAGTTCACATATACCCGCTGCCATTGCTCTAAATTCAGCCTCTGCACTTGATCGTGCAACATCCTATTTTTTACTCCTCCAAGGTATCAAGTTTCCTCCAACAAAAGGACAATATCATGTAGTCGATCTTCCGTCAACTGGAGAACCTGCAAAGTCAGCATCGGTGTAAACTCGCTAGATCAATATTCTGTTTTTTCTTAAACAGAATTCCTTTGCTCGGGTGAGCTTTCAAATAACGAAGAACTCGTAAACAGCTTGTAGATGAACTTCTCTTGGATCATGCATAAAATGACTAATAACACTCACGGAATAAGCTATGTCCGGTCTAGTATGAGTAAGATAGATGAGTTTTCATACGAGACGTTGATACATTTCCTTCTCCACCTTCTTATCACCTAAAGCTTCTCCTAATCAATGATTTTGTTCGATTGGAGTTGCTGCAGGTTTGCTTGCTGTCATCCCGGTTTCCATGAGTAAATCGGTAACATATTTTTGCTATGAGATGAATATTCCTTGCTTAGACCAAGTCACTTCTATGCCAAGAAAATATTTCAATCTCCCAAGGTCTTTAATTTCAAACTCTTGGTTCAAACACTGCTTCAACACTCCTTTCTCTATTTCATCGTTCCCGGTTACAATGATATTATCAACGTAGACAATCAGAATTGTGACTCCCCTTGAAGCAATGTGTTTGATAAATAAAGTGTGGCCTTCTTGGCTTTGTTTGTATCAATTCGCAAGCATCACATGAGTAAACCGACCAAACTAAGCACAAGGCGATTGTTTGAGACCATACAACGTCTTCTTGAGTTTACAAACTTGATTCCAATCACCGCCACCGAAACCAGGTGGAATGCTCATGTAAATATCCTCCTCTAAGTTATCATGTAAAAATGCATTCTTCACATCATATTGCTGTAACTTCCAATCAAAGTGGACTCGCCAATGACAACAAAATTCGCATTGTATTCATCTTTGCTATTGGAGAAAACGTCTCTTGATAATCGACCCCATATGTTTGAGTATAACCCTTGGCAACCAGTCCGGCCTTGTATAGTTCTAAAGACCCATCCGCCTTAAGTTTCACCGCAAACACCCACTTACAGCTCGATTGTTTTCTTCCCCGGAGGTAGCAAGCACCAATTCCCAAGTATCATTCTTTTCCGAGTGCTTCCATCTCTGCAGTCATGGCAAGTCTCTATTCTTCTTTAGATAAAGCTTCAAACAGAGTTAGGAATAGCAATTGAATTTAATGTGGACGAGATAGCTATTGTGATTTTGAGAAAAATTATTGAAAGACAAAATTGGCCGGTGGGTATAAAGGTGTTTTTGTGCGAGTGGCGGGTTCCTTTCCTTAAGGCTATAGGTTTGTCAAGATCGAGTCTCGGGTTGTGTAGAATCGGATGAGGGAGAAAAAATGTTAGAAATTGTTACCTCGGGTTCGGAACTCGGTACAAGTGATTGATCTTGCTGCAGAGCAAGAATGGCTTCTTTTTTCCTTGTATACACCTTATCAAACCGAAACCGATCAATCAATCTACCATTGTCCTCTCGTTTCTTTTGCGGGCAAGAGAATGGTGGATTGGTAAACATGATCATCAAGGGGCTGTTCATGAGGAGCTACATCTCTTGATGAAGAAATATCAAGAGACAGATCAATATCGAAATCGACAATTGTAGGAAGCTCCCTTGGAATGTAAGGTGTAGAAAAATATGGTTTATTTTCAACAAAAGTGACATCAGCAGAGACATAGAACTTCCGAGTAGGTGGATGATAACACTTGTATCCTTTTTGAGTGACCAAATACCCCAAAAGAATGCATTTAAGGGCTCTAGGATCTAACTTTCTCCGAGTGATATTATGGACATGAACAAAGGATGTACACCCAAAAATACGAGGGGTAAGGTCGAAGGAAGACCGAACATCGGGGAAGAACCGAGACAAAATTTCTAGTGGACTTTTGAAATCTAAGACTTTAGAGGGCATCCTATTTATGACATAGGCCGACGTTAAAACCGCCTCCCCCAAAAAGTTGTAGGAACATTCCGTTGGAACAAAAACGCCCTAGTACATTCAAGAAGATGATGGTTTTTATGTTTAGCGACTTCGTTTTGTTTTGGAGTGATAACACAGGATGACTTGTTAATAATACTCTCTATTTGAAAATAGGAAGACAAAGTCCGATTAAAGTAGTCACGAGCACTATCTAACCGGATACGTTTGACTAGTACCCTAAATTGATTTTTTATCATAGAGATAAAGGTGAGAACAATATGATTGATATCAAACATTTGTTTAAGAAGATAAACCCAGGAAGTTCTAGTGCAATCATCAATAAAAGTAACAAACCATTTTGATCCAAGTAATGTTTTGGATGGACAAAGGGCCTCAAATGTCACTATGAATTAAAGAAAAAGGAAAACTTGATATTTTATTGCTTATTGGAAATGGTACACGTGTGTGTTTGGCAAACTCACAAATGTCACACCGAAAAGCTTTAACATCAACTCCTTTAAACAAGTTTGGGAACATTATTTTTAAGGTAAAAAACGACAAATGACCTAGACGCCTATGATGCAACCAAATGGTATCTTTATTTGATTGTGAAAAACATGAGATTGGAGAAGATAAATTAATCGGGCTCGCTGACTTGGTGTACCGAAGTAGTAAAGGCCATTGTGCTCTTTAGCAAGTCCAATCTTCTTCCCCGACTCCCGATCCCGAAATTCACAACAGACCAACAAAAAAGGTAATATGACAATTCAAGTCTTGGATAAGTTTATGAACAAAAATAAGATTGGTGGATAATCAAGGAACATGAAGAACATTTTTTAGCATAATGTTTTAACCAATTTGGATATCTCCAATACCAACTACTCGTGGTTGTTATACCATCGGCTACGGTTATTTTTCGGCTACTAAGACAAGGTGTATGGGTTTTGAAAAAGCTGGATGTGTGGGTCATATGATCCGTAGCACTCGAGTCTAAAATCTATGCATTCCGAAACTCATTATCCAAAACATTTAATTTAAAGGAGATGGGAGTTTTACTAGAGAGCGTTAATGAACACGAACCTTGAGATTGGTTAGGAGGTGTAGTAGGTTTTTCCAAGGATCCTAGCAAGCTCTTGAGTTTTTTCAGATCTTTCATACTGAATCCTCCTAAGCCCTTCGGTGCGTTTTGTGTTGTCACATGGGCTTGCCCTTGTGATTGTCTTTGCTGCCCACCTCTTTGACCCCATTTTCGGTTGTGAGTCGATGGCTTACCATATAATTTCCAGCACTCCTCCTTGGTATGCCCGGGTTTTTTTAAATTGAGACTCTCTTCCCTTCAAGAAGGTTCGAACAAATTGAGACCATTTGAGATAGTTTTTTCCATTCAATTGGTAAGTAGCTTGAACATTCTGAAAATCCAGATTGGTCCGGCTTGGTTGAACTCCCTCACTCGATGGAATCGGCGTCACGGATGAATTCGGAGCTTTGGTCTCTCGAAGATTGTGTGTTGGCCATTGTAGGGGGGCAAAACGTAATACAGAAAAAAGTAGGAGATAATTGCAGCAATGAAGGCTGCGATTTTAACAATTGTCCCTGGAGAAACCCTAGGGCTCGATACCATGAAGAAAATAATATTTGAGAAAATAATTTCAGTATATATTTTTTAATTACACAACTATATATATATATATATATATATATATATACATACATATATATATATATATACATACATACACACATATATATACATAGGAGTCCTAAGATAAGAAAGAATTTCTAAAGAATAGGAAGATAGAATAGGATCCCTACGGAATAGGAAAGAAAATACAAAATATTTCTTATCTAATTATATTCCGATATTTCCTACAACTAATACTTGCTGATTCACCTTCACAACACCATTATCATTCAACCATTGTAATTTGTACGGTTTTGGATGTTTAATAGTAGGTAATTTTAGTTTCTCCACAAGCAAAGTACTAGCAACATTTGTACAACTTCCACTATCAACAATCACATTACACAACTTATTAGCAATTAAACAATGAGGATGGAACAGATTTTCACATTGTTCACCATGTTCATTATTTTTACTTTGCAAACTAAGTTTGCGTTGTACAACCAATGTTTCTCCTCTAGCATATTCAACATTATTAGCATCTTCTAACAGTGGCATATCATTTTCATCATCTTCTCTCACACTTTCAGATTCAACAGCCCCATCCCTCATGATCATTACCCTTTTATTAGGACATTCACGAGTCAAATGACCATGTCCTAAGCACTTAAAACACTTAATTCCTTTAGTTTGATTCTCACCTTTATCCTTGCTGCCTATTTCATTTTTATTCTTAGAATCATCAAATTCAGGCTTAACAATGGGTTTATCATCCTTTTTACTCCAATTTGGTTTCCAAGAAGAAGAAGAACCCGAATAAGGTTTAGAATCATACTTACGTGTACCCTTGCGTTTGAGCTGCCTTTCAATTTTCATGGCCACATTCACCATGTCTTCAATCCCCACATAGTGTTGTAACTCCACTAGATCAGCAATATTCTTTTTCAAGCCACTCAAGAACCTAGCCATGGTTGCCTCACAATCCTCCTCCACATTAGCCCTTATCATGGCTATCTCCATCTCTTTGTGATATTCTTCCACACCCTTGTGCCAAAGTTTGTAAACGCTGGTGCAAATCGCTATAATCGTGGCTAGGGATAAATCTCCTTCTCATGATTTGTTTCATCTCCAGCCATGTATCCATGGGTCTTTCACCATTTCTACGCCTGTCTTTAAACAATTGATCCCTCCAAACAATAGCATAATCACAAAATTCAACAGCAGCTAATTTAACCTTTTTCTCTTCAGAGTAGTTGTGGCGTTCAAAGATCATCTCCACATTTCTTTCCCACTTCAAATAGGCATCTGGATTATTCGTCTCTTGAAAAGGAGGAATCTTCATTTTAATGCTGCCTATGTTTCGGTCCACATTATCAAGACATCCTCTCCGATTTTGTCTTCTAGGATTAACGTCTAGACCAACAATGGTAGCTTGGTCATCATCCATATCAATTCCACCATCATAATCATCATGGACAAAGGCTGGTTGCCTTACTTGCTGTGGCTCACCTCGCAATTTAAAAAGTGCATCATCATGTTCTTCTAAATGATCTCTTACATCTCCCATCATTTTGAACATTTGTTCAAATTGTTGCTGCATCGCTTGAATTACTTGATCATTTGAGGAAGAACTCACTTCTTTGTCTTTGTTAGACATGTCTTATACCTGAAAAGTTAGATCAGCTTCACACACTCCCTTTCGTGTGTTTCACTCAGATAATGGATCACTCCACTCTTGTTTCACACTTTATATGGCTTTTCACGATGCTAGTCTCACCTCTCTTGCCTTTTACCACTCTTGTTCTGTTTATGGGTTCTTAGATTAACTAAGTTCCTTAAATAAACAATTCAGATTATAGCAATTCAATGATGTGAAAATGGGCAGGGCTAAGCAAAAATAAACAAAAGGTAGGCCAATTTAAAGTGGGTTATACAAACTCAATTCACAAGCTCAATCAAAGATTAGAACTCAATTGCTGTATATGTATATAATTTGAAACAAGAAATGACAAAGAAGAATTGCTATATAGTTTTGTAGATGTATACTTGAATTCACAACCTTTTTTTTTTAATTTTGTTTTTTTTTTTTAATAACCAAAAATGCAAAAAAAAAAAAAAAAAAAAGGATCAGCATAGATTATCAACAATTGAAATTGAAGAAAAGGACAAAACTGATAGGTACGGTTCTGGAAAAAGAGAAGAAGAAAAGAGGGTGAGAACTAAATGAACAGCAAGTAAATGGATACACAAACCTCAAACTTGAGTCAAAAGCTCGATACCAAATGATGGAAATCATCAATTTAGCAACCATTACACCCCAATAGTTAAATAACTATGATACATATGGAATGTAAATTAACACCCTCTACAATTGAAACAAACCTGAATTGTTCTAGTTTGAAAGTAAGAAACAAACTATTCCATTCTCTTTGTCAATGGAAACATGATAAAATAATTAGAACAGCACGTTGTCGAAACTTACAAGTTTGATAAGTTAAAAAGAAAAACAAAGATTTTAGGTATTGAACGTCACAAACTGAACTAGTTTGATAAGTTCCAAAGTTAATCTAAGAATTTTAAACAAAACTCTCACAAAAAGTTCAAATATTTTTATATTCATCAAATTGTGTCTTTACAAAGAGAATCAGCCTTGTTTATATAGAACAAAGGCTAAGACACAACATTCAATTCGGATTCAATACAAATAGTAACCACCCATTTAATGACAGTCCCACTACGTAACAATTAAGCCATGATTGTTGGCTTTAAATAGTTCAGCCTTGTAACTCTTTATTCTAATCAAGAGACAATAAAACTCATACTTAAAAAATAAAACCCAAATTTTAGCATGCTAAATTCATGCAACAAATAAACCAAGCCCAAATTACTAAAGTCCAAAATAACACGAAATAATAGCCCAAGATCCAAACACATATAATCAAGGCTGATTGGCCTTTTATTCTTCAATGGGCTGGATTGATTCAAACAATGTGAGTTGGATCATTGTCTTCATGGTTTGAAAATGTTTGAATCATGTTAATAATTTTAAGGTCTTCTTGCATACATAGACCCTTGACAGAATTGAGGTGAGCTTTTTCCTTCCAAAAATGTATTCAAGTAAGCAAGTTAATGCTTTTTTCATCCTTTTAGTTTTAGCTCTCGTCATTGGCCCTCCATGAATGGTTAAAGGATCTTGCTTCTTGATGTTACTTCCAACCTTGGCCGAATCATCCCCTTGCTGATTCATATCACAACCATTGCTTAAGCCACTTATGGTTAAGTGGCTTTGCTGGAAAATGTTAACACCTTCTTAATCAATCACAGGGGGAGAGAGAGTGCGAGTATTACATGCGTAATGGCTCCTGCAAGTATGGCCCGAACTGCAAGTATAATCATCCAGATCCTACGGCTGTGGGAGGAAGTGACCCTACTTTGGCATTTGTTAATGGTGGATCCGCTTCTCTACCAGCTCCATCACCGTCAAGTGTAGGTTCTTGGTCTTCACCAAGGGCATTAAATGATCCTACGCCCTTTGTGCCAATTGTGTTTTCACCAACTCAAGGAGTTCCTTCACAGAGTCCAGAGTGGAACGGATATCAGGTATTTACATTATTGCTTAGCTGTTTAAGTTTTATTACCTTTTAACCTAGCAACTTACGAATACTTTGCGATTACTGTTTCCTTGGTGGGTGCAGTATGAAACTGATTATGGTCTTCTTTTTTGTCTCAAGTTGCCTTTTGAATTACTATTCTCTTATTATTAGCTTTTAAGATATAACTTTAGATTGTTTTCCAAGTGTTTTTACTTTTAGATGGTCCACAAAGTACATGTTTTTCTTTCATTTAATCCCTGCAATTGACCATTAGATTTGAAAGGGACTGACAATGAGTGGTGAATGTAAGTGATACAAGAAATAACAGTATAAGAATACCAATTTGAAGGATTATTTGAAAGGTCTACTCAGCTCTAACGATCCAAATGTTCTCTACATGACCAAATCCAGCTGTTGTTATAATGTGCTCTGCCATGACTCATTTGATTTAAAAAATACAATGATCTTTGACAATTATGTCATGCATGTGCACTTGCTGTTTATTGCATTCATCATGACTGATGTTTGATTTGCTTTCGCTCACACTTGTCCTTAAAATGCTCTACTCAGCCTACCTAGGGAGCATATTTGTTGTATTCAGTCACATACACTATTTTCTAGTGGTCAACTAGTCTATGTGTAGAGTTGGTAGAGCATGGAGAATATTGGAACTGAGTCACATACACTATTTTCTAGTGGTCAACTAGTCTATGTGTAGAGTTGGTAGAGCATGGAGAATATTGGAACTGAGTTACTGCTGAAGATAAAACTCTCTCTTGCTCTTGTATCGAAAAAAGTTGGAAAATTTTCTGCACTTCACTTGCCTCGCATATGTCAGATCACTGAATGATTAATTTTTTGTTTTCTCTTGATCCTTTCCATTTTCATTCTAGTAAAATTATTGTTGAATTGATGATAATTCTGCTTGCTTGTCTTGACATGTTATAACGGACTTTATGTTTCATATTTCTAAGGGGTGGAGGTGTGCTTATTAAACTAAGTTAAAAATTTGCTTAGAACCACTGATTATTGAAGTTATTTCATTTTTAATTATGTACTTTTATGGCTTATCAAAGATAAGATTTGATGCCCTTTTCTGACTTGCCCAGGCTCCTCTATACCCTCCTGAAAGAAGTCTGCATCCACCTCCATCGTATGCCATGAGCAACCCGGCAACTCAAAGTAATGTCTATGCACCTCAGCAACCGGAAATAGTAGTTGATGAATTTCCAGAACGACCTGGCCTACCATTGTGCAGTTTTTTCATGAAATTTGGGGACTGTAAGTTTAAATCTAACTGCAAATATCATCATCCAAAGAATCGGATCTCAAAGTCACCCTCAGTAACTCTTAGTGACAAGGGCCTGCCACTAAGACCTGTAAGTTGATTTCTATTTCTATTTTAAACCCTACTTATGAAGGATTTATTAAGTTAGGAAATGATTTTGAAATTTTGTTGTCCTTCACGTTTCTTATTTTTGCTTGCTAATGCTTTTCTGCTCTTTCTGTTTACTACTTTATATACTAGGATTTTTTTTCTTTTTTTTTTTTTGGCTGGTAAGAGATTCAGCTTCTTTTAAGTTTTAGTTATCGCTGACTTGATATAGATTTTGGTTAAATAAGTAGAATTGATGCGTGAAGATAATTCCAAGCAAGTCAAATCTTTCCTGAGTAAGCGTCCAAGAAAAAACATTATATATACTTCTGAACCAGTCCAATAAACTATAGTTTTACATCGGCAAATGGCACTGAAAATTTGAAATTAATAGTTTTCATATTTTTGCTACATGAACTGATGAGATTTTAAAACACCAGCATGTCTCTCTTATGACTGTCTTTGTCTTTCAAATACAGGATCAAAACATCTGTGCTCACTACAGCCGCTATGGTATTTGCAAGTTTGGGCCTGCATGTAAATTTGACCATTCAATACAACCAGCTTCGACAGGATCTGGTGAAGATCAGCACACTGTCTTTGGCAACTCTGTGACAGAGAGCGGAAATGGAAGTGATACTGTGATAGAGCAGCCTGTGTAAAAATTTTGCATCAAGCTTTGCAGTGTTCTAGGATCAACAAAACCGAATACTTCAAATTTTCTCATCGAAACAAGGATGTTCTATTAACTTATGTTTTTTTACCTTCCCTCCTTCCCTCTTTGAGCTGCCACAAGCTTTTCAAACGGTGGCATGATATATATTTATTTGTTTTACGTCACCACAAGCAAAAGTGAAATCTGGATATGTAAATCATCTCTTTTTCACGCCTATTACCAGCTTTATTTACTTATACTGTTCTACACGGAATTATTCTTGCCCTAATGTTCCTGGGTTGGCTTGATGGCATTTTTATAGCTTACCTTTTGATGAGTCTACCCAAAGGTTGCTTTGCTGATAAAATCAAATTGAAAAATCACCTAGGGAAGTGCTCGAAATTACCAGGAGTCTGGGGTAAACTAAATATTGTTTTTTTATAATCACCTTTTCAAAGTTTCAGTTTTACATTAAAACAACCGACCAAGGGGTAAAACAGCTACTACTGAATTTGTGGAAGCTCCAGAACAAGCACTAAAGCACAGAAAAGTCAATTAAGCATGCTAATACTTGGACTAATTTATTCTTCAACTCAAGGAGTTGCTCCACCCAAAATAAATTCTCTGGGTTCCAGTAGCTATCCTAGTTACAGAAGAAAAAACGACCTTAGACTCTGCCTTTTTTTTTTTTTTTTGGGTTCTCTTGCCGTGAAATTGACCTCTCTTTCTTCGTGTTTATCTATCCTGTAATCATTAATGCATCTTCGAAATAGAATCTGAAGATAAACACAAAGAAAGAGAAGTCAGTTAGATGGTATAATTAGAAGGAATGAATGTGACTTTGGAAGAATGATCAAGATGACGACTGTGTTGAACCACGACCTGACATTTCCGTTCTTTTTAAGTCCTTTTCCTTCACTCACTCTTAACTTTTCCAATACCATTAATGCTTGCACGTACAGCAGATGCTCCCTCCACTTACCCTACTGCCTCCATTCATGGCCTTCTTTTCTTTGTATTATAAATTTCATGCTTTGAATCAATAACTCTAGCATTTTTATACAAAGTTGAATTGAATGGTCCTGTATTATGCTTTTATACTTGCATCAATTATCACCATTAGTAGTGAATTGGGCAACCACATGTGTAGTATAGTAGACACTTCCAGTCCCCAATATCAGGGTTCAGACCAAAGGCACCAAGCAGATCACAAGCATCCAAAGCCAAATGATTGGAAACGAAAGAGCCACATTTGAAGCCACACACATGCCATTGCTCCGTTGGTTTTTCGTGGATATGAGTCATTGCCTCAAACCTTTCTGCTATTTTAAGATCAACATTCCGCCCCTAGAGGCTCTAAGCACTCTTGAGTAAAGTGACATTTAGAATTGGAGTTTGAAGGTGTAAGAGATGGAGTGCTGCTCAGAATCAGATGGTATGATGCTAGGGCTCGTGCTAGCTCTCGTCATAGCAATGATTCATGCAAGAAGAGTCGCTGTTTACCCCTGCTCTTGAATTGTCTTATAGGCAAATTATGCTTCTGCAGAAGCTTAGTGTCTTTAAGTTCAACAATAAACATATGCTACTAAGTAAGAATTTAATAAAATGGACACGATTATCCGAAAAATAGAATGGACATTGTTAATATTTTTCTCTCTTTAAGAAAGTATGTGTTCCTGTTCCATATATGTAAGCTTATCCTGCAATCATGATCATGCCAATTTTCAAACACTTATAACTGATGTCAATATTAATAATTAGATAGTGCTGGTATTTGGAATTGGTTACAATGCTTAATAATGTGATAAATCAACACCGAAAACACTGAATTAAAATCAAAATAAACAAACTGACCAACTATACTGACTTCAAGCAAACAAACATAATAATAAATAAATAAATATTAAACAAAATAAAAGAAAACAAGTAAAACAGAAAAGAAACTAAACTTACACAGATTTGACGCAAAAGCAAAACACAAGCAATAATTAAACAAAATTTTATCTAAATTAATAAAGGAACTTATTTGTTTTGATATTGAAAACTCTCCTCCCCATAACAGCAAAAACTTGGCTTTCCTAAATAATCTACCGCTAGTGTATGGATTGTAAAAATATAGAATAACACAAGTCAAATATCATTTTCACAAAGAAGATATTCAAGTACCAATCTGTTTAATTCCCCTATTATCTAGATGAACCGATTTAACCAAGATTATTTTAAAACTTAAAAGTTATAGGACTCATAGTTTAACTGAGTCAATTTTTGTCAATGGTAACGATCAATTTCCCAAGCATACGCATGATTAGATGGGTGAACCAAGTTCTAACTTTGAATCTAGAATTTGTTTTTCTTTGCTAAAATATTCAGAGTCATATCGATAGATGGCTTGAGATAGTATTTGCAAAGAAAGTTCAAAAGCTTGAGTTGGATTTGGTAAGATATATAGGAGGCAGCTGTGTGACTATGCTCATTTTTATGTCCTTCCAAGTGAACTTGTTTTCGGTGAAAGTATGTCTGCGATAGGAAATTTCAATATTAAGTCTCTAACTACTCTGTGATCGAGAAATGTCCATGTAAGCAGAAAAAATCTTGAACGCTTTTTGCTGGAATGTCCATTTTTGTCTGCAGCAAGTTCAGAGCATCTAACAAACTTAAGGGTCGTCGGTTCATCTCTCAGATTGAGGTTCTTAAAGATCTCTTATTGCTTCCAATTATCAAGTTTTGAGATTTCAGCTATCAACCTTGTATTAGGTATATATTTTGGAAAAAAAAAAAAGATAAAAGCAGGCCTATAAAAACTGTTTCTTTTCTTAATGAGGCCGACTTTTGCAGTGGTGATCGCAATTTTCTCACCTATGCTTCATCTCAGGTTTCAAGCTATTTTCCTCAGTTGGAGGTTGTCACATTTCGTGTCATGTTACATGATGTAACTATATATAAGCTATATTTATTTTCATTCTTTCTCACTTGTATTTATCTATTATTAGCTTCAGTCGGCTTCCAGGAGATATATCTACCAGGATAAAGTGAGATTCGAAGAAGTTCCTAAAGCAACAACGCTGAAGTGATTAGTGCTGAGACATGATGTTCTTAAACTAGCAATCAGTCTCCTTGCATATATAGTTGTTCCATAAAATTTGCTGAGACATTTATGGTTATGTCATTTGAAAAGAATCAACCTTGCAAATTCATTCTATATTTTGAGAGGGGATTCCACACATTGTGAACAAAAGCTGTCTTGCATTTAAAATGGTTGAAATCCAGAATAAAAAGGAGATTTTGGAAGGGTGCTACAAGTCCCCACAAGAATCGCTAGGGGCAGAGCCAAGATGCTTGAAAAGAAACTGCCTCCAAGAGCTCAATTGATTATTCTCTGAATTTTGGTTTTCCTCATAAGCTGAATTATTATTATTATTATTATTTTCTCGTTGAATGGGATCAGTATTTTATTAAAAAAAAGTTAAGTTGCAAAAATTTCTTAATTAGTCCGGCGCTTGGTCTCTTCACTTTGCCTTAATCCATGTTTTATGTTGCGAGGTACACGGTTTTGACTATTATGTGACTTCCAAGTCTCTTTAGTCTTTAATTAGTTTACCCTATGAATGAAAAAGTTAACATTGCTTTCACAATTCCCTAAGTTTATGTTATTTCTGGTTGTTCTGTTTCTTTATGCATTTCAATTTGAAATGTGTAGATTTGTATATGAACGAAAGGAAAAAAATTGAATCGGCTAGTTGGCTTGTTTTCCTCATCCAACTCAGTCACAGTGGATGCATGGGATTTTCTCAGTTCATTCTCGTTCATCAAAGATGAAAAAGGAAAGATAAATACTATCCATCAGATTTGGATCTTCTGTGCAGGATTTAACTAGTTACTGTATTGCTGGATATGGGGTAACTGATGATTGAATGTTAACACAGATCGATTATGGAACACTGGAAAATGGTGCAAGAGTGACAATTTTTTGTTCTTTATATTTTTTGAACAACGTGAGGAGCTGACGAATTCTCAGTGTGAATAATTAGGTTTAATAACCTCATTTTATTCAATCAGAACATATGTTTATATCCACAAAATGAGTCCTAAACAGTAGGACTTGTTTCCTATTATATTTGAGAAAATCTTGTCTAATCTATTCTAAATAAAATATAAAATATACATTTAATTACACACTGATTTACAGTCTAATATATAGCAAAGAATCACAACATTCTCCCTTACGCTACATTGTAAATATTTATCATACCCAGTTTGCAACTAAGAAGGAATTGGCGGTTTGTAGATTAAAAGGAATGTAAACAGTGCTTGATTACTCCCCCTTCTATCGTTTCTCTAATAAAATGTCAATCTATTTCCACATGCTTGGTCCGGTCATGATGAACTGGATTTTTAATGGCAAGTGGTCTCTTGCAATAAGAGGTTACAAATTCAAATCCTAGCGGACTAGTTATGCTAAAAACTTTGGGTGTTTAAGTTGAAAAAAAAAAAAGTAGCAATACCGATGGTAGATTGACTCGTCACATAGTAGCTATATTGATACCTTATAAGGTATCTTCAATTTAGCTAATACTCATTCTACCCAAATTCCTTCACAAATACCATGAGCCATTGCTTGAAATTCTACTTTAGCACTACTCCTAGATACCACGACTTGCTTTTTACTCCTCTATGTTGTCAAATTTCCCCAAACAGAGGTACAATATCCGAAGTGGATCGTCTATCTATGATTGAATCTACCTAGTCTATATTAGAATATAAGTCCATTTCCCCACTTGATTCTTTCCGAATAATAATCGCTTACCTAGAGTCATTTTTAAGTTTTTTAAGACTCGTACATCGTTGTCTTGTGTTCATCGGTAGGGTTGTTCATGAACCGGCTAACAACACTTATTGAGAATGTTATGTCTAGCCTAGTATGTGGCGGATAGATCAACTTCCTAACGAGTCTTTGATATTTTCCCTTATCTATGAGAGCATTGTCAATAAGGACCTAAGATTGGTGGTGTTTTCCTTAGGTGTCTTTATAAGTTTATAGCCTAAGCATATCTCCTTCTTTTAGAAGATCTAATACATACTTCCTTTAAGAGACTCGTTGTGCCTTTCTTTGGCCTAGCCACTTCCATTCCCAAGCAATATGTGAGTTTACCTAGGTCTTTGATCCTAAATTCTCCATTTAGAAATTCTTCGACACTTGAAATCTCTTTAGTATAATCCCCTGTTACAACAATGTCATCAACATAGACAATCAACACGAAAATCGATCCTTTTGAAAAATGTTTTACAAATATTGTATAATCGGACTATCTCTCGTATATACCTATTACTTTTTTTAACTCCGGTAAATCTCTCAAATCAAGCTCTAATTAATAGTTTGAGACCAAAAGTGACTTCTTTATTCAACACACTTTATTGATATTTGATGAGTTACGTAGTTCCTAGGGAATGTCTATATATACCTCCTCTTCTAGAGTCCCATTCAATAATGCATTCTTAACATCTAGTTGATGGAGGGGCCAATCCAAATTTGTTGTAAGAGAGAGGAGTATTCGAATAGTATTGAGTTTTGCTATCGAAGCAAAAGTCTCCTCACAATATATGCCATAGGATTGAGTAAATCCCTTAGCTACCAACCGAGCCTTGTATCTTTCAATACTATCGTTTGTTTTTGTTTTCACATTAAAGATCTACTTGCATCCGATCACATTCTTTCCATGAGGCATATCATTAATTTCCCAAGTACCATTCTTCACTAGAGCAATAACCTTCTTCATTAACTTCTTTCTTTTATTTTGGGATAGCCATGGCTTCTTGTATCAAGTTCGGAATGGATACAAAATTGATTATATTGATGAATGCTTGTTAAGATAAAGATAGTCCCTCGTAGTTCACATAGTTGCCAATAGGGTACAATAGCCTACTTCTCCATTCTCTCACCCTTTTTCGTGAGTGTAATGGGTGGATTCTCATTGAAATTACTAGGATTACTTGAACTAAAACCCGTAGAATTTTCCTCCATAATTTGCAAATCGGATGCTAGGATATTTATCTCGGGTTCGAGTTCGCATTCTAGCAATAGTTGTAAATCTACTAGAGTCTCGACTCCTTCAGTTTTCCTCTTTTTTTTTTTTTGTGATAGAAAATTATTTTGGGAGATGTAGAATCAATTAGTTGTGGGTTTAGGTTCAAGTTGGACACTTAGAGATGGGGTAGAAGCATTTTTGAGTGGATAAAGTGCATTTGTAGTTTCGGGTGTTTCTAGTATGTAATCTATGCTCTCTAAGAAAAAATTGATATTCTTGTTGTTGACTCTAACTAGAACTCTCTCCCTAAATATCAGTTTTGAGATAATAGGGTTTTGTTTTAAAAAATATCCATGGTGTGATAAAATTTTTAGCTATCAACTTTTGGTTGTTATGACGGAATTATTTGCCCCTTTTGATTGGGACAATACCCTATAAAGATACATCTAGTGGATTGAGAGTCAATTTTGGTTCGATATTGTTGATGGATATGCACAAATGCAAGTACACTTTAATATTTTTAGAGGAAGAGTGGAACTTAGGTGACTTTGAGAAAAGTGTTGTAAACATACTTTATTTGGAGTGGAAAAATCTAGTACTTTTGATGAAAGTTGATTGATTAGATATGTTGTTGTAAGTACAACCTCACCCTAAAAACATTTTAAAACATTCGATGAAAACAACAAAGACTCGACAATGTCTAAAATGTGTCTATTCTTTCTCTCGGCTATCTCATTTTGCTAAGGGGTATCTACACAAGAACTTTGATGTATAATTCCCTTAGTTGATAGATATGAGCCAAGGTTAGAATTAAAAAAACTCTTTTCCATTATCGGTTCTAAGTATTCGAATGAAATTTTGAAATTGAGTTTTAATCATTGTGTTGAAAATCTTAAATATTTGAGGAACTTTTGATTTATTTTTCATGATAAAAATCATATGAGTCGTGTGTGATTATCTATGAAAGAAATGAACCACTAAGCCCTTATGACATTTGGAACTTAGGATGAGCCCCAACATCACTATGGATTATAGAAAAAGGTTTTAAAGCTTTTTATGGCTGAATAGGGTATAAAATGCAAGTGTGTTTTGTAAATTGACAAATTTCATACCGAAAAGAAGTAGCGAGCTTTTTTTTTTTTTTTTGAATAACCTTGGAAAAAGCTTGGTTAAGTACATAAAACTTGAGTTGCCTAACCTATAATGCCACACCATGACCAACCTCTCATTCTCATTTTTGCACTCACTAATAAACAAGCAAGAATTAAGTTTACAAGAAATAAGGTCGGATGAGATTGTCTCACAAAATCCGATTAAACCTCAAGATGATAGAGCCTAGCATGACTTCTAGCATCGCCAATCATCCTCCTCAAAGTCACATCTTGAAATTCATCAACATGAGGAGAAAAATTAGCTAGACAGTTAAGATCTTAGGTAATTTTATTTATGGAGAGTAAGTTGCAGTCTAGATTAGGAATATATAAAACAAATTTGAGCATTATGTCCTTGGATATCACAACATAACTAGTCCCTTCAACTTTTTCCAAAGAACCATCTACAATTCTAATTGTAAGAGCATCAATACGGGGAGAATATGTGTGGACAACTCGCCTATCTCCCGTCATGTGATCGAAGCACTAAATTTTACAATCTAAGGCTTATAGAGCTCTTGTTTAACAACCAAAGCTTTGAGAAAATTACTTTTTTGAGCTATGGAACCTAACCCAATAACTAGTGGATTTTGTTGTGATTGTAGTAACCTTCTTACTCCATCAAGTTTTTATTTGCTAAGAGTTGAAGCCTCGCTCCGAATTGCTTATGGTGTTGCCTTGAATTTTATTCTCTATTGTTGTTTTTGGCTTCCAATCGGCAGCTTTTTCATAGAGTGTTCAACGAGTTTCTTTGGTATAATGGCATTCCCCTTCGCGTGGATGCTCGCTGATTTCGCATTCCCAAAGCTAATGACTAACCACTCGGCAACTAATTTTCATGTCCCTAGCATCAAATGGCATTTGCTTTCTTCCCTTCGAACCTCGGATAGTGGTTTTGTGCTAAATATCCTTCCTTTTACAACATCAAGACTAAAATTCAAACCTAAGCATAATTTGTAGACCTTTTTGTTCTCGATGATCTTTTTGTGATGTTTGAGATTATTAGTATTTTTCTAAGAATATTTTTCAAAAGCATCCGAGTTGTTGTCGACTTTGTTGGAGTTTGTTGTAATTCTCGGTCATAGATAAGTCACATTGTCGGAGATTGTATAAGACACTCTCAATTGCCACCACTTCAAAAGTGTTGTTTTTGTGAGAAAAAAGTATCTTTTGCTCGCTTCATAGACTTCGCGGCAATTTCATTTAAGAGAAAATTTTCTCCTATGTGTGGCTCCATGGAATTCACTAACCAAGGCATAACTCGGTTGTTATCTCTCTTTCGGATCCCGTAATTAACATATTTTTCATCTAGTTTGGTGATATTTTCAGTCGGATAATCTTCTCTCTCCTTACTAAGGACATGAAACATGAAGGATTGGATATAGTTTCTACCATTTAGTTTGTAGATGGTGATGGCTACGGATGAGTAGTTTGTCATGTCTCCTCCATGGTTGTTGAACATGACGAGTTTCGAGTATTGGGAGATTTTGGGGTTTTAATTGAAGATTCGTTGGTGCTTGTCGTATTTGGTCTTGGATGTTGTTGTTGGTTATGAGATAAAAGACGAGCTGGTTGATGAATACTATTAGAATAAGGAGTGTAGAGGGCTGTCGAATAAACAGTATAGAAGGTTGTCGAAAAAAGCAAAAACAAGAGGCGTCTAGGGTTGCTCGATACCATGTGAATATTTAGGTTTAATAACCTTATTTTATTCCATCAAAACATATGTTTATAATACACAAAATGAGTCCTAAACATTAGGACTTGCTTCCTACTTTAAGGAGAAAATCTTGCCTAATTTGTTCTAAATAAGGAATAAAATATACAGTTATTCTTCAATTACACACTGATTTAGAGCTTGATACATAACAATGAATCCCAACACTCAGCACATGAGAAGTATTTGCATTCTTCAATTAAAAAAAAAAGTGTAAGAGAGTGGAGTTATTTTTAGATTACAAGAATCCATGGAAGAGTGGGCAAAGAATGTCAAGTTGATACCTAAACACAGCTGTAGAGTAAACACTTCTGGAAAATCCCAAGCTGAAAAATCAAACCCTTGAACATTTTGTTTACCAAAAAGAATCAGGCCAGTTTCCATGGCATCAAAGGATAGTTTCTCCGTGCATGAAGGACAAGCAAAACTTATTGAAAACAAGTCTCCTCGCATAGTTGTTCCATAAATAATTGCTAGCAGAAAGAATAATAATAAATGTAAATGGTCGTATTGATCAGTATAATACTATAATGTTCTTGCTCAGAGCCAACGAGTTAAACACTGATAACATCTTATGAACGAAAAAAAAAAAAAAAGCCTCAGCTATTTATTGGCACTTCTGTACCATTTTATGAGAAGCATCAAAACATAAAATGAGAAGAAAGAATCCAAGGGAATAAATAAGTGAAAAAGGGTATAGGAGGGAAAAAAACAAAGAAAAGCATGGTCAGAAACCGTTCAGTGCTCCATCAGAAGGCTCAGGCATTAATTAGTAAGAGAATCCCCACCCTGGATATTGTAACTTTCACCAGTCATTTCATCAAAGCTCTTGTTGCAAAATGAGTTCAACTACAGCAAAGCCAATTCCTCTGCATGAAAAAAAATAATTGAGCTATAAGAAATCTTGCATCGGCAAATGTACAAATAAAAGGGAAAGACAGAGGACTTGAAAATTGCTCGTTTAAAACATGCACCTTTGGAGGATGCTTATAATTCTCTTTTTTGGCATTTTGGTTGTACACAGGTTCAGTTCTTCGTGGGGACACAATTTTTGCAGGACTATTTTTGGTCTTCTTCTCGTCTCTAGCCTTGTTAAATATGACTGTGAATCCTTCAGCAGAGGCAGGGTTGTTTACGTCCCACTCGCCGAACTTGGGCAAAGGCCGACCCTGCTAAAAGAGAAAAACCATCAACTGTAATAGATTAGCCAACCTTCTCAGGACATTTTTTTTATACTTTAATGCTTTTCAAGACATTCAATTCATTTTGTACATTGAATCATCACCAAGAAGCTACAAAAAAAATTCATTTCATTTTAGAGATGCTACTAATGGATCATAGATCTTGATACATGGCGAAAGACAGCAACCTATAGAAAAAGGAAAGTAAAACTGTCATATAAAGGGGTAGATTTCCAGGGAATTACTGGTTACAGAGATTGTTCCGATTCTTATTCATTTGGTTATCTATTGATTACGGATTCAAATGGCATGACTAATGAAAGTTTGCAAACTATAGACAATTAAACACCAGAAAATCCAATATTAGTAAACAAACCCCTAAAATCATATCCATTCTCCCACCCATGCCTACTTTTAGAAACCAAACAATCAGCAAGAAACTTTAACAATGTCCATAATGCCATATAGCAGGGACCAGGATTCCACAAAAATTGAAATAATAATACATAAACATTCTCAATTAGAAAAGCCATTCATCCAATCCAAGATATCTAAATGATATTCATAAAATCCTAGCCTCCTCTAAACATCATAAACACTATCTTGATCATCTAATTCTTGCCTGCTTAAACAAGAACAAAGACAACATAATGTGCACACATCTATTCCTGAGACTACAAAACTCCAATAATTAGCTGCTTAGACAAGAACATAGACTACATAATATGCATGCATATATTCAAGATATCTAAATGATATTCATAAAATCCTGTCTTAGCTGCTTAAACAAGAACATAGACGACAACATAATAGGTGTGCATATATCCTGTCTTGAAATTACAAGAGCCCCAATATTTAGAATCTAAATCAAGGATTAAAGCAACAGAAATCTGAATTAAGAGAGACAAATCAAAGCAGTTGAAAAATAGAATCTTACAGAAGCCATGAGGGGACAGAAGAGAAGAGTTAGTTAATTTGGTGACGAGAGAGATAAAGAAAGAAACGTAGCTGTGATGGTTGGAGTTTTATAGAAAGAAAAGGGAGAGAAGAAAGAGCGATTTGTTAGGCAAAGAAAGAGAAGAAATGGAGAGAAAATGGAAAATGAGTAGCGGTTTTGTTATAACTATATTTTTTCTTTCTGTCTTTGCAAAATGCTAACTGTTGGTCAGGTAATTGTATTAGAGGCACCCACGTTGTTTACGCGCTTTAAAGCACTAACTGTTTTTCCTAGCATTTCCCGCGATAATCTGAAAATAAAGAATATATTGACATTTCTTAAGTTCCTGTCATCGTAGAATAGAATCCTTTTTTGTTCAAAAACTCTAATGATCAGATGATCTGAACGCATACTCTCTGCAACTACAAATTAAGAGCTTGCTACTATTAAATTGGATTTCTATATATTGATTACATGACTAATTAATTAGCTCATACAAAACTTTGATGTTGATTTCTTGAGGAAAAAAAAAAGGAACCTGTAATATAATTCGGGTAGATACTCTAAACTTTATCCCTACATAACTATATATGGTTTGGTTGCTTCAAATGTTTATGGATGTAAAAGGTATAGAGATTTCTGTCCCTGTATAATCAACTTATCCATACACTTGTTATTAAAAATAAAAAATAAAAAATAAAACTTCTGAACACTGTCTCATTGGTTAGTGCAATTTTTTATGTTCCAGGCTTCGAGTGATTATCAACTCATCTTGCTGAGTAATGCAATTTTTTCTGTCCCTTTTTCTCTTTTTCCGCCTTTTTTTTTCTTTTTCTTAACCAGCCCCCCTTTTTTTTTCTTTAAAGACCTAAGCTGCTAAATTGATCATTCACAGTCCCATTACTGTAGCATCTTTCACATTCCTATTACTGTAGTTTTTTTAATTTTTTTCCCCGACTAGCATCTTTTTTTTTTTAACGGGTTGGATCTGTTGAGATTTAGTTTGTCCTTTCTTTTTTAATTTGTTAATAAATTTATATATAAGACTTTTGAAATAAAATTTTGGAACATGATTGTTTTATTTTTTAAGATATATTATTATAATTTATACGATTGATTATTTTTATAATTTTTGTATGAAAATGGTGGTGTCGCTTATATAAATTCTAATGAGAGAGAAAGAGCTAAAAGTGTGTTTTAAATAATTTGACTTCATTTTTTTTAAAAAAAATAATCAATTAAAAAATAATTTGACTTGAAATTTTTTTAAAAAATAAATAATTATTTAAAAAAAATCATAGTTTTATTTGGTTATATATAAATAAATAATCGAATTTATTTAAACTAACTTTATAGTAGTTTTTATTTAAATCTATTCACTTCGACATATTCCATATAATTTAAGTGAGTTATATATATATATATATACACACACACACACACACACACACACACACACACACACACACACACACACACACACACACACACACACACACACACACACACACACCAACTAGGTGCGACCCCGCTCTTTTTTTCCTTCCTATAATTTATTTTATATTTTTAAAAGTCTAGCCACCAATCTCATGATAGACACAAAAAAAAAAAAAAAAAAAAAAATTGGCTAATTATTTTAAATCTTGATGTGTTTTGGGATTGGATCACCAAGAGGCAAAAGGAAACTCTTAAAAGAATATACATATTGTCATAGCATAAGTGCTATACAGAGTTAAACAGATCATATATAATTAGTCCCTTCATCGGGAAAGAAAACATATATATTATTGGTACTTTTAACATCTCTCGAACCAATATTAATTATATCTTTGATATTGATGTTAACATACATATCCGATTATTTTATTCTTATTTTTTAAATTTTATTTTTTAATTATTTTTTCTTATTAAAATTCTCGTTAAATTAATTTTTTAATTTTTTGATATAATTTTATTTGTTAATAAATTTGGTTTTTTAATATATGAATTTTAGAATAAAAATTTAGAACTTCAATATTTTATTTTTTAAAAATATATTATTATAATTTATACAATAAATTATTTTTATATTTTTAAATGAGTGTTTTACTTACACACACACACACACACACACAAAGAGAGAGCTAAAAATATGTTTTAGATAATTTAGCTCAATTTTTTTTAAAAAAAAACAATGAGTTCAAAAAATTCACAAGTTTTATTTGCTTTTATATATATATTTATTCAGAATTTATCGAACCAATTTTGTCGTAGTAGTTTTTTTTTTTAAATTTGTTGACTTCGATATATTTCTAAAATTTAGGTGGTTTTTTTCTTTTAATTTTACTATTTATTTTATATACTCTAAATATATATCATTAGTTTTGTTAAAAATTAACTATATATAGATTCGATTTATATTAATCACCAAAAATAAAAATTTTTACTCACATTATAATATACGAATTGTTAACTATGACGCCCCCACCTCATTCCACCGTCCATTACCCAAATAGGAGTGACTAGGTGAGGTGCGTCACGCTAACACTACGTAAACCCTAATCATTTTCTCGTACGGTTTATTTAAGAAATTAACAACATATCACATAACAAAAATGCATATAGTAAATTTTACAAGACATAAATATTTACGAGTAACAAAATATTACAAATAGCGGTTGATTCCGTATAGATTTCATACCCTCAAATTACAAACAAAACAAGTTCAAGCATTTCATGTTACAAATGAGCCTCTTAGGAGGAGTCGGCCGCATCCTTACTATTTTGTCCTTGTTCGTCACATCATAGAAATAACGACGGGATGAGCCGAAGCTCGGTAAGTGGGGTAATGCACGTGATATGCAATGCTTTTCCGACTTCCCACCATACTTATCAATTTTAATTCCGGATACCCTAGGTATTAGCTAGTCTACTCTATTTTTAATCCAGGTGATTATTAAATTACCTTCTGCTACAACGGAATTATCTCTTATTGTAGCCACCGTTAGCGAGAATCCATCATCTAACGAGTGCAGGCACACAACTTAGAGTACGCACACAACTTGGACTGCTAATACCCATTTTTTCTATTAGGTTACCAAACCTAATCATATAAACCAATTCTCAATCAATTGACTTTTCTCCATTTGCCCCACAATGTACATCATACACGTGATGTTATGTGTACCATATTAAACATATCGAACCCATACAGAATTTGATTTCATATATTTTCCTAGGTCCAACCCGTACGGGGTTTCGGGCTGACTCATACCCCTTGTCATCATGTTTCACCTTGTTAGAATTAAAGACCGACGAATGGTATTGATTTAGTCGTGGGTCTAATTGTGTATGTGGGAACTTTTCTTTTTATTTACTATCATAATTCTAATTACTAATTTGTTCCACTATGAATTGACTAATTATTAGCATTTCAAGGTATATGTTTCTATTTCTATTTTTTATATATCTATTTGAGCCGAATCAACCATTAATTACATTATCTTGGTGAAAAGGAATGAAAACCAAGCAAGTATGAAGTAAAAGTGGCGAATTTCGAGTGACCGATGAATTACATGGGCAAAGACATGCCCGTGTGGGAGGTCGTATAACTCTCCGACTTAAAAAAAAATACATTTCTTCATTACACGGGGCAAAGACACACCCATGTGGGAGACCGTGTAACTCTTTGGGCCGAAAGTTTGCTCAAGAAAAACCCTAACATTCCATTTTTCTTCCTTCCTATTTTCCCTTGTCTAAGTCCATATCAATCCTAAATTCACTCACCATGTTTTGGTCAACCAAATCCATTAGCCACACCTATTGATACATGAATCTAACTAGATACAAAACTTTCAAAACTTAAAACAATTAATCACACAACTAACCATTACCATCAAATCCTAACAATTACCAATCATGGAATAACCTAACCAACAAAAATCAAGCCAACAAACATATCACAACATAAGCACAAACTTAACCAATTACAATAACATCAATTGCATGGCATAAAGCACTAAAGAAAACCCACCTACCTAGTTTGGATGAGGTTAGGTTTTCTTAGCTTTTCTTCCCTTTTTTCCTTTATTTTCCCTTCTCTCTTTCTTTCCTCTTTTTTCCCTCTTTCTTTACCTTGTTTCTCTCCCTCTTAATGGCGTCTTTCTCTTCCTTTGGATGAGCTACGGTTTCACTCCAAAAAATCACTAAGTTTCATCTTTTCTTATATATATACTCCATTTGCCTTCCTTATTACTTATGTCACATGTCCTAAATCAATTTGGCCAAGTATAAAGCAAAGGAAAGGTTTAAAAGGCAAGGTGGCGTTTTTGGAAGTCAAAGGTGATGAGTTGGCTTCCATGCATTTAATTAAGGTACTTAGGTGTCCTAACTAAGGAATTAGACTAACTAAATACCCTAACTAACTTAGCCTCAAGTAACTAACATATTTTTCTTCATAAAATTTAGGAAGTTTCCTTTCCTTTTTATTCTGATATTTCTAAGGAAAATATTCCTACATTCTCAAAATTTTATACACACCCCTATTTCACTTGTATAATATGTCCCAAGTACTTAATATATAATGAGTGATAATTAATTATTTTTTTTGAAATTTCGCCCCAAAATTCTCACATAAGCGCCTTAAAATTTTCACATAAGTGCTAAATAATCACCATCACCAAATAATTAAAATGACACCTACAATTGCACTCGTACTCAATGTATATTTACATGAATATTTTGACTCATTAAAGATTTTCGCGGGGGTTACATTAACCCTATATATGTAACGGTTTTCTCGCCCATAGCATAACGCGGGTATCCAACTAGTAATATCTAAACATAAAGAAATTATCCAGGGGCCCTAGAATTCCACATTAGCTAAGGACCCTTTCCATTCATTGTGTGCCATGTGTAATTTTTTTCCACGTGGGATAAAAGAGACCTTGAATAAATAAAAAAACCCTTCATCTTTTCCTTCATCCCCCGTCTCTCTCTCTCGTATGGCTCCTTCCTTCATTGCATCCGTGTGAAAACCCACAAACCATCTCTCTCGTGGGTTTCTCTTCATGCTAGATTTATAGTGGAAAATTACAATGCCGGAAAATTTGTTATCTAGAGTGATCAACATTAAGATGTTTTATCTCAACCTATATGTCTAAGAATTGGTAGAAAAAAGGGTTGCGAGGAAGTACCAAAGATGCCACTTTTTTATGAGATGCCGTCATATAGGATACGGGGTGGTATTCAATATGATATAGACCCGTCATGCATCCGTATTTGAGCTTTCCACATAAAGAGAAATAATGTTCGTCCGATTCTAACTCATATTTTCAATTAAACATGCGAGCTTACACATATTTTGCTTATGACCAATTCATATAGATGTATGTAAGTCCGACTTGGCAACCGATTATATAGATTATAAATGTTGTTTTACACAAACATTGGCGTACACAAGACCAAATGTCCATGGGGTCAAAATAGATGTTTATAAATTTGTCATAGTTTATACAAACTTATATATATTATAAATAATATATCAACATATATTTTAAAATAATCTCAAAATACAATTACTCAAAATAGAGATCTTCATTCTTTCAAGTCATGAAAATCATCTATAATAAAAATAAATTACAAATATGAATGTGTAACAATTGCTAAAATGCGATATGTAACAAATTACAAATTCACTTAAAATGCAAATAAGATATTCAAATTTTCAAATAAAATACTTAAATAGACCACCACCCGAGTCTACCGGGAGCCACCCCCAAGGCTCGGTGATATACATATCTAAAAATATTTAGGATTATAGTAGCACTGATCGCTCCACTAATAAGTTAAATATATTTCAAAATAGTCACTTTAGTAATATATAACCTATAAAATATAAACAAGAAAAATTGTTATTATTTACAAACAAACAATTAGGAATCCAAGTATATTAATCTAAATATGGTTGTGGCTAAAATAATTAAAGATATATTTAATAACCATTAATGAAAGAAGAATGATTATTTATAAATTATAATCCTGCATTCCTATTGTTACAACTCCTTTTGTTTTTGGCTTTTTTTCTTTTGTCTTTGGGTCTACAATTACAAGCACAACAATGACATAAATTTCAAGATCAATAGTATAATTTTAATTCAAATAGATAGATTATCGAAATTTATAAAGTCATGGATCCAATATTCCAATAGAAACCTTAATAACATAAAATAAAATTAGAAAGACAACTAATCTAATATTTTAATTATAAAATATTATTTAAAAAAGAAATCTAGGAGTCTGTCAAGATTCAATCAATATATAAAATGAAAAACTTAATAAATTAATAATATAAATAATATAATAAGAGTTAATAAATTACTAATTTTTAAAGAAAATACTTGATGTGTTGTCGAATAAGAGAAATCCAGATTAGAGGGAAGATTCTTTTTAATGTTTTGAATAGAGTAAGAGTTAAAGAAAAGAGAAGAAGAAACGAGTTTAGTAGTTGTGGGAGGTTGTTGGGATCAAATCAAACAAATATTAAGGGTTTAGTAGTGCTCGGATTTGTCCTATACTAATATAGGAAAAAAAGAAGTTGAAGAGAGGGGGTTCCCTTTAGTTTATAACGTGCTTCAGCCCCTGTACACAAATTGTTGACTAAATATATAATAATACCTCCAAGGGTTGCGATTGCCATTTGCTCGACCAATGAAAATATAGAAACAGTTTTGCTTCTCAAATACATGGCTTAATAGTAAAAATTGTCTCCAAACTCTTATGATTTGACAATTTTGAGTTTTTATTATCAATTTGAGTAATTAAACTACAAACTTTTTTTTTTTTTTTGATAAATGTGATCCTTACATGTTATTTTAACGATCAAAAAATTGATTCTCAATGGTCAATTTTTTTTACTATTAACATTCTAGATTAAAAAAAAATAGTTAATTTAGTCAAATATGATTTACATAAGATTGCATAATAGTATTCGTCGATTTCAAAATTAATAAAACTCATAAAAAAAAATAAAAAAAATAATCAAATAAAAAATAAAAGTACATGTATTTAAATAAAAAAATAAAAATGCAAACCCTCAATTAGAAATAAAATAAATATTCATGCTCATGTGGTAGACAAGTCGGCGTACTTATATGTCAATTTAATGGTTATGTTAGCATAAATTTAATAGAAATACTTGATTAAAAAAATTAAAAATTTACATTAACAACAATCTAGTTAATACTAGATTTAAATATTTTATTTTATTTCTAATCTAGTCAATTTAATAGTTATGTAGCATGAATTTAATAGAAATACTTGATTAGAAAAAATTATACTTTTTTTATTTATATATATGTACTTTAATTTTTTCTATTTGATTATTTATACTTTTTAATCTTTTTTATTTGTTATTAATTTTGAAATCTAATGAATAACCACTTTACAATCTTATGTAGATCATATTTTGACTAAGTTAAGTATTTTTTTTTAAAAAAAAAAACTAGGATGTTAACGATCAAAGGGTTGACCATTGATCGTCAAACCTTTGATCGTTAAAGATAACGGATAAAGATCATATTTGTTAAAAAAAATATATATTGTTTTGAGTCTAAGTAACCCAAATTGGTAGTGAAGGTTCAAAATTTCCTAATCATAAAAGTTTAGGAGCATTTTTTTCCATTAAACCCTTAAATACATATCCAAAGGGCAAAAAAATAAAAATAAATAAATTTGAGTTATATATTTTCTTTTGGGTTTCACAAGTATGAGATCAAACAATTGCTTGCTTCACGCGATCTCATCAACTCTATTCATTCAACAAGTTGTTTCCTAAAATAAATAAGTTCATTTTATAACTTGAGGTGATCAAAGTTCAACTCCACAATATGGTTTGTTAGAAAACATATCCCATATTGAATAGATATTTAAAAGATGAGTGATATATAAAACTAAAAATAGGTTGCTCATCATAAGATTGACTTTTGAACACTCGATCTCTACTATTTAACTCTATATAGTATCAAAGTCTCAAAAAGACCTAACGAATAGAGTCGAACATATCCCACATTAAATAGATACTAAAAAAAAAGTAATATATAAAGTTAATAAGGAGTCACTCACCATAAAGATTTAAGTTTTTTTTTTTTTTTTTTGAATTCAATCTCAACTATCTAATTCTATATGGTTCGGCTACAAAAGTCTCCACCTCTTAAAGATTGTGCACATATTTGCCTCTTGACAAGAGTGAAGGACATGATAGTCGGAAGAATATGATTAGGAAGCTCACTCATCCAATCCCGATGATCAACATTTGCTATTAGTTTGAAAGGAACGAGGGAAGTATGAAGTATGGGAAGATCGTAGACTTCCCAATCTCACTCGACATGCCAAAACAACTTGAGAAAAAATATATGTAATTGATGACTTATCCGTTAGATAATAATATAAAATCATTCATTTAATAGCTTAAACTTTTGAATTAAAATAGTTCTTTGACATGGTATTAGAATCTTGATGATAAAACGGTTGTGAGTTTAAATTTCACCACCCTCACTTTCTCTTTTAATTAAATAATTAAGCACAAGGTCCCTTCATCTTCTCTATTCTTTAAATTAAATGATTAAATACAAAATAATGGTGGCTATGTACTAGTTTCAAGTCCAAAGGTTTTTCACTCCATTTTGTCTTTTTTTCTAAGTAAATAATGAAGCATAAAGTAGTAGTGTATCTATTCAAGTTTTAAACCTAAAAACTTTCATCCCACTTTATCTTCTTTTTTAATTAAATAACTAAGCATAAAATAGTGATGAACATGTACAAGTTTTAAATCCAAAGAGCTTTTAGTTGATAATATGTTTAAATAGTTAAGAACAAGATAGTGGTGTATCTTTGTAGTTTTAAGCCCAAAAAATTTTCATTGAAAAATGTATTAGAAAATAATATAAAACAATTTTTAAGGTCAAGTTGATGCGAAATTAGGATTTTTAATATTTTTCAGATGTACTTATAAATTAAAATCTGTAAATGATAGACTTTGACAACTAATTTTTCAAATTAATAAAAAACAAAAGGATGGTTTAAGCTATAGTTTAGAAGAACTATGAATCACTTGCTTGAGTAGTTTAGAAGAATTGAGGTGATTATACCAATAATGAAAAGGTATGTTTGTATCTATCTTTATCGGAGTAGGGAGTTTAGTTTTTCGGGTAACGAAAAAAGGATTCCTTGCCCTGCAACAAGAGAGAGAGAGAGAGAGAGAGAGAGAGTAATGAGAGGCATTCATTCTTCTCCTTGCTGAGCTTGCTAGGAGTCCCCTCCATGGATAATTATGCTAGCAAGTCGTCGTGGGTTTCTGGTTAGGTTCTACCACTAATAAGGTTAGATTCCCAGGCTCTTCCCCTCCAACAAGCATCTACCTATATTTTACCACTACGTTATGTAGATCAGGATTTCCTATCAGACCTATATTTTACCATTTCGATCACACAAAAGCATCTATTAATTGGTTTTGTAATCGCTTTGGCATGAAAAGCTATCACTTGGTTAATTATGCCAGACTAGAGCAAGCAAGCTAACTTGGGTCTACACAGCATTATTAGAAATTAGTTGCACTAGACAATAAATTTCGCTATTTAATCCAGAAACAGCTAAACATCCACAAATGAAATACATTGAGACTTTGAAATCTTATGAATGTAGAGCCACAAAAGCAAATGAGCTGGCAATGCAGGGAACAATCTATTGGAGTATCTCATTATATTAACCGTGAAAAGGTATGTTAGAAAATTAGACACAACTCAATACAAACTACCCCTGCGGCCATCAAAAAGTGGAGAGATATCAGTGGAAAAGGATATGCCCTCTTGTACAGATATATACATATTTCACAAACCATCATTTACAGTCATTTTGAATCCTAATAATTTAGAATAAAGCAATATCATACAATAGTACTCACATAAGATTTACATTCTCTGCCATCCAGGACAGCAAAGAATCAGATCTCAACGTTAGCTTTGTTTCCAGCAAGGATAAGAGAGATCTCCAGGCCACGGCTGAATGCTTGGTTGAAGAGCAGGCGAGACTGGAAGGTAGAAATGAATGGAAACCATGATAAAAAAGCAATTGGAGCAAAAATAATCATGCCCATCCCAGCATCGTACATCCTGGCAAACTCACGCACTGAATCCCACAAGCCTAAACTCCTAGCTACTTTTTTCCATGTGATAGCAAGCTGTTTCAGCAGAATCAAAAAGAATTTGAAGTCAGTGAATAAGGGATGATGAGGACATTGATGAGGGCAACAGTGTTAGAGTTTACACCATCGAACCAGGTATGCTACTCTACCAAACCACTCCAGAAAGGATGGGAAATAAAGAAGCAGCAAGAGAGAGCTGCTTAATGAAACAAAACATCCTTTTTGTCAGCCTAGCAATCTTTTTTTCTTTTCACTCTGTTTCTTATTTATTTATATTAGTTTAGTTTTTTTGAGAGGAAGCGCCCTATAAAATGCCTGGTGTTATTACATAGTTACTTATCATGGCATTACATTCACCAGTAACCACTAATTACTAAGACTTAAAACATGAAACACAGACATATATCCTAGAAATTAGTTTCCAGCTTGCTCTCAAACACTATTACAGAATATTTTCATGTCAGCTTTATGCAGAAGAATTCATCAAATGCATTTTAATTTCAAACATTGCTGTACATGTAGTTATATGCAGAAAATAGTGCGAGCCTTTTCAACTTACAGATAGGATAAGCCATCCAGTGGCAATAAATGCCAGAATGCTCGCAAAAAGGTCAGGAATTGACAAATCAGTGAAGGCAACAACAAGGCAAAGTGCTGCAACAAGTCCTATGGATGCAACTCCTTGCAGGAATCGCATCAATAGCTTGAAGTGGGTGGATTTTTTGGGCTATAGGAGAAGACCTACAAGGAAATAGCACAAAAGACAAACAAACATGAGTATAACAGATACTCGAATATAGCTACATAAATAAAGGGATAATAGATTAAACAAAAATGGATAGAGACCTGAAATATCATGACAAGGCCAACCAATACAACCCAAGAGAAGCCATAAACCTAGACAACAAAACCAACGGTCAAGATCAAGAAGCAACAAGGCATGCTAATCCAAAAAATACTTTCAACCATTCATCATCTACTGTTCAAATTGCATGATCAAAACTATAATTTCCATCTTCAACAAAAATCCTCAGCAAAAAATGGCAGGGAAAATAATGACCATGCAAGGGAAAAAAAAAAAATCTTCCTGATCAAAATGAAGGGTTATTAATTGCTGTTTCTAAATAACATACGGGAGAAACAAATAACAAACTTATATCAGAACAAAAGAAACAGACTATACCGCAATAGATGTATCCTTTCCTGTGAGATGGAGCTTGTATACAATGCCATATTGAAAAATTAAGAATCTCAAGCTTAATATTGTTTCCAATATACGACCTCTCCAAGTTTGGATATGCATCTGGAGAAGAAGAAAAGAAACTTACTTGAAATAATAAATATAAGAAAACGATAGAAAGTACTAAAATGAACGTATTCAAATACAAAGAATAATCTATAGAAACTTTAACGCCACCTGTTCTTCTTCCCACCATGATTCCCAGCTATTATCTCCCTTCACCCCAACTCCACCTTTATATAAAAGCCAGCTAGTCCAATCATCAAAATCCTCAACCGTCCTGTTTGCCAAACCACAAGATCATAGTACTTAGCAGACAGCTTAGTTCTTACAAAAACATAATAGCTCTCAGAGTGTATGACATGCACACTCCCACTGCAGGGTTAAAAACTTACAGGAGGCAAATAACTAGGAATATGAAGCTTACTTTTGCCACTCAAAACCAGAGGGATTAAATATGTAAGGAGCAAATAGCCATGAGATGACAAGAAACCAACTGCTAAGTGTCAACAAAACAAAAGAAACAGCGCCTCCATCGGTGTACCCATAGGCTATATACACTATGAGAAGCAGGGCAACTTCGAGCCTGAAAGAAAAGAATGGATGTTTTATAACATAAGGAGCCACAACTTTTAACATAGACAACATCAACCTAAAGCATCCCACCCCCACCTCAGGATGGCAGATGCCATGAGAAAACAAAAATAACAAGAAATCATTCCACATAAATATACTCACGCTTTAACAAAATGACTTCTTGAGTAAAGCCTGTAATTTTCAGCAAACTTGATGTGGCGTACCACAAAGCCTCGACCAGTTGCTCTGTACTGTTACCAAAATTTAAGATGCATAGATATCAATTTCCAAGTAGGTATGTAGGTAGAGAGGGGTGTGGGTGTGTGTGAGGAGAGAAGAGAAGACATACTTTTGCACCTCCATGGAGGACAGTGCGTCCAAAATAATGAGTTTTGGTGCCCAATGAAAACGTGAAGAAGACCGAACACAACTGAAGTTGCATTGTAATAAAGCTGAAAACAGCCTGGAAAAAAAAATATATATATATATTACCAACAGAAACTTATGCATTGGAGTAATAACAATGAATTAAATAAACTCAATAATAAATCCTAGGGCATAAAATATAAAATCAAAAAATCAAAAAGGGGTGTGGAGCCTCAGCTATAACGAATACTAGAAATGTTGTTAACTACGGCAATTGACCTGGCAATTTTATATTAAAAAAGAAGCTAAAATGCCTTGAAGACAATTGATCAGCACATAATACTGATGGAAATTAAATGGACAAACCTGCAGCAATCCCAATTCAAGTATAAAACCCATTATCATGGGGACTGCTGTAAAAACTCCAATCTGGACCAAGAATTGTGCATTGAGAGCAGCATCCAAAGCTGTATTTCCTAACTTCTTTGCTCTAACTGCTATAGCATTATCTAGTCCAGAGAGAGCCTGAAACACTTGACAGCAATTAATAAAATCTCCTTGTCCAAATGGGAGAATAGGCTTATTCAAGTTGTGGACAAAAGACCCAGTGCATATGAAAAAAATTCAACAGGATATATAAGAAGGCCCAGATCCAGTGATTGTTTCAGTAACACCAGAGGGGATACACACAGGAAGAGAAGGATCATGAAGATACTTGAAACAACTGACAAGCAGATAGTTTCATTTCAGAATTAAAAGCTTAGTTTCCAAAAGACGTGTATTGATTTGGGTAGCATGCTTTCTTTTTAGATGCAACAAACACCAAGCAAAATATGCTGTCCCCGCACTAGCCCTGGGAAGCCTAGTGTTTGGGCATTGCAATTGCAATAACACTTGTAAATGCAGCATAACCAAATTTATTAAAAACTAACAAGATGCAACACTCCTCAAAGGGGTTGACTGGCCAAAATGAATTTTACTTTTGGGTATAGAAGTCAAGTACTCTACCCAATATGTAAGTTCTTCAGAATGAATAATTCACAAATCCACTTTCTTTTTCCCTGAATATAATCCAAAACAGTTCATGCACCATTTTGCAAAATTCCAACAATAGAGTGCACCAATAAAGTGGGGGTAGTTATAACACAGGACCGTTTCCAATTCTGAGCATAGCCATAAGATATTTCCAGTAATTTCAGTATTTTACATTCAGATGAGAAAAGAAAACGATAAGAAATAATCAACAACTCTCAACCAGCCATATTAGACCATTTGATACAACATAGATCTCTTTTTGAACAAATTATCATTTCTAAACACTATATTGAAGTAGTTGATGTACAACTAAGACAAAATAAAAGAAATTCACAGAGACAACGAGATGGTCAAACTAAGGCGGCAAAAGAGAAGTTAGGTAGATTACCAGGTATACCCTTCCATACAAGAATACATATACCGTGAGGACTGTCATCTGCATCAAAGAAATTCCTTGTAAGATAAACCCAGAGACTAGCTGACTGAATGCAATTCAAATGGTTTCAAGTAATATAAAAGATGATAGAAAAAGACATACCATAGTGCACACATAGTAACCAACAGTTGTAAAGTAGAAAGAAAGCATTCTAAAGAAATCAAAAAGTTGCCCGAGCCTGTACACATCCCTGCTTAGAACTTGCTCGCCATTTCCTCCTGCCACTTTCCCTTCAAAAAGTGCAATCTGGTTTAACCCAACGTCTCTTCCTTTCCCAACCTGTATGGAGCAGAATATCAAATACATTGAAGATGTATTTTTTCCAAGGTAAACTAAAATGAAATGGGCAAGAGCATTGAACCTGAATGTATTCGTGGTGAGTAATATTTCCTTGCCTCAATGTGGAGTTAAAACCTGCAGCAATTTTCATTTTGTTTACATGAAAATCAGTTTACATAACTCATACTAGCATGTTACAACTCGGTCAGCCAAAATCATCACCCATCCGATATTTAACCAAAAAAAAAAAAAAAAAAAGGTGCAATATATAAGCCTGTAGTACCACAAAATATCAACTTAAAAGGCTTTCTGCCTCAGCAAACAGAATATTCTATTATATTATCAACAAACAGCAAGTTTGACTAATCATTAAAACATACTGCACCATATAATTAAAACCAACAATTTTCCTTCGATTTGTTGACCAAATATACATGTCCGACATAGGCAACAACAGCAGCAATCAGGGCTCCATTCCCAACCCGCTGGGGTTGGCTACATGGGTAGGTGCTACTAGAGACTGAGCATTACTGGAGCATTGTACCTCACATTACTAAGCAACCACTAATTTAGTATAATGCAGGGCATAAATGTCCAAAATGCATGTTATTTGCAAGTGGGCAGGATGTTGGAAAATGAGCATTATTGTAAAAATGAGAGATGCCAGCACTATTAGGATACTAGGAGGTAGAATCAGTAATTTGCTAAAATTACAAGATTGAAGTCATCGTCTATCCTTCAAAACAAACATGGTCCGACCAAGAATCATGAGTTCCAACAGGCTAGGCCCAACTTTAACAAGGAAAACACCTTTTTGCCCAATAGAAATGCAGAATTAGTTTAAGTCAAAAGCGACTTCCTATCTTACATTATAAAAGAATTACTTCAAGGGGAAGCGATTTGTCATTTCTTTTCCCAGACAACACTCCATAATCAATAGTTTCTGAAGAATTTCATTTATTTGGCATAAACAGTGAATAATTTCCAGTATTTCATTCATCATGTACCTGCATATATATCTTCACTGATATTAATTACACGTGATGCCTTACTGATGCCACCTCGAGTTATATGAAATATACGGTCAAAAACATCTGGATGACCATAGTGCATGCGGACCCTGCAAGATATTTTTTCAACCAAAAACGAAAACCTATTAACATTTCGGTAGCATACATGCAAGACATAGAGATAATACAAAGGCACACGTGGGCATACAAACCATCTATGCAGCAACATACGCTACAACATAAACAATTATATATACTTACAATCATAAAACAATTCTTAGAAAGGGAAAAAGGAAGAGAAAGAACACTACTATTTTCCAATCTAAAGACCCTCTAGAACAGATAGACTTGGCATGATATATATTCAGTTATTTAAAAGGAAAAAAAAATTGATTCCAAAACTCAACGCCTTCACATATGAGATTTGTTACAAATAAAGAGCAAAAGCACACATGATTGTTTACTCTAAAATGTAATAGGATGGATAACAGCTTTGATTAGTTCTATAAAGAAGCAGACAAAATTACCATTCATCATATATTATTGGATCAAGTTTTACATAGCCATAGCAACTAATAGTTTAATATGATTAGTATCTTACATTGTAATTCATGCTGGTAAAAATTAGGATGCAAAGTGAATCTAAACCAAAGTGTAACATACTGCACACCTAATCTATGGAAATCAAGTAACTAATTAGGAAATGGGTTTTGATGATAGAAGATTCTCTTGAATTGATCACATAGAACAATATTGAGTTGACCTGAGTAACAGAAACCATTGTATACAACATTTTCATAAATCTCAATTGCACAAATAATTTTATAGGGCTGAAACAAGTTATAGACTGCTCACTTGAGTGGATTTGCTAACACACGTTGGCCCAATGTTACAAAGCTTGTTTCTTGATTGGACATGAACCAGGCTAAAGATGAGACACTGCATAAGTACACCCAAAAACAATGATTAAGAAGATTGACAGAGCAAAGATAAAAAAAATCAGGTAGCCATTATTTCAAGGAAAAGTAAGCCGAACCTTCCTGTAAAAACATGTTCCCTTACACCAAGGATGGTGGGAGGTCGAATGCCATGATTTGCTCGAAATTCCTCAAGAAGATTTCTCATTTTCATTGCCTCTTCAAGATAGTTGTCCTAAACAAGGGCAACTCTGCCAGTTATATAATTTTTCCCAAAACACAGTATGAAAGAAAGCACCTACAGTTCCAAACTTCTAATGAAAGTAAATCAACAATTAGAAGCCAAGAAATAGCAAGAACTCAAACTATAAATGGCATACTTGTACTACACCATTTGCAAGGATACCTTGCATGAAACAAGCATCTGCTACGATGCTGTAAAATCCATACAGTATTTCTAACTAAATTCAAACTCTGGCAACCAGCAAACTTTAAGAAACTCCTTGAATTATTTGCTCTTATATTTCAGAACTTGATACCATACGTGTCACATACATAATTAACAGCATACACTTGTTAATCATGGCAGAGGACCAACATCATTTTGGTTTAAGAGAGAGCCTCTGCTGAAACAGTTGGAATTGAATCTAAGGAAGATTTGCATGATCAATTCAGTTTAAGAGAGTGCCTCTGCTGAAACAGTTGGAATTGAATCTAAGGAGTTCAGAAAAAATATTACAACATATGCAAAACCTATCACAATTATTGTAAGATTTCATTACATTTTAGGTGTTCAAACTTGTCAACTTTTTCTATTTGAGTGTATTTTTTTTTATCTTTGCCATTTGAGTGATCCAACTTGCATATTCTTTCAAATGTAAAGCATGTAACTTTGCAGCCTATAAAGCTACTGCAGAAACATCCCTGAATGATGGCATCCATATTTTTAAATAACAGCCATTATATAATGGATTTGGCCATGTCCATTACAGTTATACGCTGTTATTGGGAGCATAATGGCATTTCACACAAATAATGCGTTCTATGTTGTTATCGTTATATAATGCCATAATTTGCTGTTATTTAAAAAACAAAAATGTGATTCGTTTTATTTTATTATTTGTTGTGTGATGTTATACTATTAGAAGTGTTATTATCTTTGTTTTGTAATAAATTCAACCATTCTTGCATGATATTAAACTATTAGAAATGTTATTATTATAATAAATTAGTAAAACTATTAAAAACATGTGAATTAGAATAAATTTATTTACAGCTGCCAGCAAACTAATGCATTCACAACATCGATTTCTGCGACCTTTATTTTACTATCACGATAAGCCATGACCCGCAATTGCAATGGCAGCCGTTTTTACAACCGCGTCCGCGATTTAAAAATATGATAGCATCTACTCACTATCACTATGAGATTGAAAAATCTGTTTGGCTTAAACCCCAGCACACCGAACAGGTGTTTTGAGGCCAGAAAAATTATCCAATGATCAGCCCCTTTCTGCTATAAGCATCTAAATGCAAAGTGACAAAAACTTGGCAAATTGCTCAAAAATTCAAGATTCAAGTCAAAAATCAAACCAATTCTCCAACCAACATCAACCATGAAAGCCAATGAAAGCTTCCATACTAGGGTTTTATTGTTTGTTCCAAAATGCAGCAAAACACCATAAAGGAACTGAAGAATGTAGCAACAGATATAATACCTACTCATGCACAAACTATTCCACTAGTGCACACGTCCATGAATATGTATGTATATGTAACCTGATTCATGTCAATAGTTTGAATGGCTTCTCCTCGAGTGAAAACTATAGCATGGTTCTGGTTCTCAGGCTTCCCTTCTCCAAGCTTTGGATCTCCAGGAAGTTTGATTGAATATATTTCCTACATATAAAGATAGAAAGCACAAAAATACCTCATTTATAGCAATGACCAAGTAAAGAAAATATATATATACAAACTATTTCTTTCCCAAAGCAATGAGACAAATACAAAAAGAAAATGATTTGAAAGGTCAAAGTCATAGCCAATGCCAGTATGATAACAATGATTGGGTCAAAATGTAAATTGCAGAAAGCCGCCATAACTGAATAAGTAGAGCAAAAAATTGCACTACACAGGTTTATATGATCTAACTAGGGAGAAATTCAAAAGCGATGATATCCCATCAATTTGAAGATGAAAACTGCAGAGAATGTAAAATTGTCCCCTCTAAATATAGGCCTTGCCTCTAAAATGATACAGCCACAGGTCATACGTGTGAAAGAAATTACAGACCCTTTTATTGTTTTCCCTTTTGTTGTTGACTCAATTAATGGTCTTCATATAACCACCATTAGCAATTTATGCACATATAATCAGTTGTTAATATATATATATATTTCAAGAAGTCATCAAATATGAAGAAAATTATTAATCAACTTATCGTTTAACAATAATTTCTCCACATCCTATACAATATTCATATTTTATATAAACACCTAACTCAATGGATATCTTTTTCAGATGAAGAAAATTATATTGACTGACTAAATATAGTTACAAAAGCATGATGAACTTGAATATAGGCACACTCAATGGATCTAATTTAAACATTTAATTAATAAATTAATTACTTATTTAACAAATTAAATAAAACATGTGGATGCACACGCCAAAATTACTAGTTTCTTTTAACAAAATGAACTTGGGTTACTGCAGAAAGCTCTGCACCATGGACAAAAATTGCAAAAGCAAATACCTACCTGATCTTTTCCATGTATATCAGCTTTCACAAGCTTCGAATAAAATTCATGGGAAACCTTTCCAGCAGCACTGCCACTCTCCTCCACATGTATGAAAGCAACTCGAAGTGCCTCATTCCTGACTCAGAAAAATAACATACATAACCATGTGCACAGAAACTTGCAACATGAATACTTAATCATGTAGCTGATTACATCAGGGTAAAATCTGATATAGATCCAATAACAACATCTGTCCTCATACAGCAGGAAGAAAGCAAGTGATTAACATCAGCAGTAGCCAGTTGGCAGAGAAGGAAATCTTGCCCAAATCAAGATCACACACCAAGTAAGGATGCCACCTCACTCTCCAAGTAACCTTTTAGTACGGATGACAAGAGAGTAGAGGTCCATACAAATATGGAATACAGAAAACCGCATTCACAAAACAGATTAAAAACTCAAATCTTCCTTCTGAAGTAAATGAAATGTTATGCAGCACTAGTCAATACTCATTCCAGGATTGAAATTTATGGAGATACCAGACATGCAAACAAGCAGACACGCGGCACCCATCCCTAGCATCTAGGTGGCATGAAATACTTTGGCTTTGTAGCAAAATATTTCCTAAAGAAATATGATACTAACAAAGATAACCATTTGACATTCATACAACAAAGAGCGGTCAACAGGATAAAAACAGAACATTCAATTCTATTAAAAGAAAATTAAAATGAACATATACCGCTGCAATAAAAGAGAGATATCAGCAGCCTCTGGAGCCTTTCGCTGCTTTTGTTGCCCGTAAATCTGGCAGGAGACCACATAAGTGAACTTCAAATCTGCTTGAGCCCGTGCTTCATGTGACAACTCAAATCCTTGTGCTGTAGAAAAGTTTGTCTGAGAAGAATCGTCCACTGTAAATACAAGATGAACTTTGTGAGTATATTTCCTAACTCTTAGATCAAATGCCCCAATATGGATTGTTCAAAATTAAGCACCTCCTAGTGACCTCCTTTCTAGATAACTCTGCAGCATCAGAGCTCTCCTATAATACATCATACCACGTACTGCATCCCAAGGAAAAGAGAATCATCAGAAAAAACAAATGCCCAAAAACACTAAGAGAATGGCAATGTGATGATATGAAATTATACAATTTCAAAATGCGATTAATAATAACAATCATGTGGCTTTCATGTTAAATGGAATTCTAACCAGTGCGAGCTAGAGTCTGGCCACGATAAGATACCCAAAACCTAAGCTCCAAGGAATCACTAGAACTTTCTTGAAGATCTGCATCCCCAGTAGACTGTCCTCTACCAATCCGCTCCAAGAAATTCTCCCATTCATCTGGAGAGAGAAAAAAAAAAAAGAAAAAAGAAAGGATTCTCAGCTAGGAACTAAGGAAGATTATCAGATGCTAATCAAATAACATGGTTAAAAAAAAAAAAAAAGATACTGTCAAAAATGTAAAGATATATGAAAATACAGAAGGGTAAGCATTTTCAATTCTTACTAATCTTTCCAAGTCTGGTTCTGTTCAAAAAAATCCTCAAAAGAGAGGAGGGTGAGAGATATATTTTACAAGGTAGATCAAAAAAAAGAAAGAGATACCTGGAAAAATTTTCTGAAGATAGAAAAGAATGGATATTCCATCCTCATTTTCAACCCGCAGCTCAGAGGAACTATAAAGTACAGTCTCACTGTAGTACGGAGTGAAGACACTGTTCACAAAAAGAAATCAAAACCATATGCATCTACAGAAACAAATAAATCGACAGTAACAGGCAAAGTACCCTATTTAACCTACTAGATCATATTTACCTAAATGGAGTCATTTCACAAACTGGCTTTGCCGAAGGCATATCCATGAATAGTGAATTTGTGAAAAACTCTAATCTTCTTCTCGCTTCAAGATTCTTTGGAACATTGGCTGCAGAGTCTTTTACAGTGAGAAGAAGGTGCAACCTTTTCACCTGCTCCTTCTGTGACGAGAGAGAGAGAGAGAGAGAGAGAAACTACCACTGTAAATGCAACCGGCACAATAAACTAAGAACAAAAACATATTTGCTTTCACATGTGCTTACAATTTCTGGATCCTTTGGCCACTCTATCCTGGAGAACAAGCGCCTTTCATTTCTTGCTCTAGCTAAAATGTTCCATGTATCAAGTTGCTCTCTGTAGCAATTAATCAAAATTTCTAAAAACTCAGCCAGCTAAATTATGTTTCAACTACAATAACAAAGCATCAGTGAGGCCCATCCCCACCCCACCCCACCCCCAACCCCCATAAAAAGAAATAATAATAATAATACCTTAAATCAGATGACAGCAGATCATGGGTAACAGCTTCATACACATCATATACAGCCTTCGCAGCACCCTTGGCAAGTTCAGGAGTTTCATTTCGTATCTGAGACAAGTGAATCATTCTTATAACTGCTATGAGCTACCAAAAACAGGAGCACAAACAGACAGAAAAAGTAACATGCATTGCTTTCTACAATACTATCTATTTCTGTTATTCGTGTCTGCTTCCTTTCGAGATCTAGTTCCTAAATTAATGATGATCTAGCTGGTCAATGCTTACGGAGCAAAACCAGGTTGATCCATTTGTGACCACAATGAAGTTCAAGGTAGAAGTTTTGTGTATGTATAAATGTAATAATTGTGGCATCTAATATTCAAAGCCTGAAAAATCACGAGTCTCTGGGATTTCAAAATCCAGATACAAATGAATTCAGATTTTTCACAATCAGCTCAGGCTTTTTAGGCAGTCAAAAGCTGGGTCTGATTCGTTTGTTACTGTCTTCAATACTATGCTGTTGGCATTTACCAATTTATGTGGTCCGAAATATGATCAAAGAATTTATGAGTGACATGGCATCATTTCATGTAGAGACGGAATTAAAATGGATTCACTAAAATTCAAATTGGTTTGAAGAAGGAAGATGGCACAAAAGAAAGGTTATTCCTCTAGTCTGTTGTTCAATGAAGTCAACATTGAGTAGCAGGTCGTCACATGGAGACAAGCCTTTCCCTATGTCTTGAATGTTCCAGATGACTATCTATATAGCAAAACATACTATTCTTGCCCATCGTGTTGAAAATGGTAAAACAACAATCTTAACATCCAGCCTTCTTGGGCAAAGTTGGTGACCAGTACTCAAGAGCTGCTGGTAAGCTGACCAACACTTCTTGAGCTGGAATTATTTTGGCTTGTCAAGTTCATTGAAACGAACAAAGATCAAACAAAAAGATGGTCAGTTTGACTCAGTTCCTTAGATAACCAAACATTCTAACCACAGATTCCAAATATCTAGTATGAGTAACACAAAAAATTTAAATCTTATAGCATAACCACTGATGCTCTTGTCTGAACCACAAAAGGAACAACAAGGAAAAACAGATGGCATGACCAAAGCAGAAAGTGAGCTACAGAAACAATTTTAGCAAAGAACAATACCACCATATGTAACTAACATAAATGAAAATACGGTACCTTCAAGCAATGTCAATTAAATGATAACAAAAAGATAACAGTACATAACGGTAAAGATAACATTCATATTAAACGACAAAAGCATGCAAATAACAGTATTATGTTTTTAAGCTAAATCTATTTTCAAATTACATATCCAATTTAAAGCAATTAAAACTAAAAATATCAAATTAGAGACGAACTATGTAGCATCACCCCATAACTTGTCCGAACAAATGTAGCCAGCAGCAGCTAAAACAACATTATATGAATCAGGATATGAGAACATATGTCTCCCAGTCCACCATGTAAAGTAGTGTATCTCAAATAGAAATGTACAATTTCAAAAATCCAAAATCAAACAGAAATTGCATCAAACAACATCTATAATATATTGCTCCAACTTTTTTATTAGGAGACAGCTCCCATAGATTTTATCTATTTATCTTTAAAAAAAAAAAAAAGGAAAAGAAAGAAACAGAACTCTAATGAATCAATGCTTTATTTGTAAGGAATCGGTGTACAACACCCGCAGGCTATAACCTTTAAAAAGTTGGCACAGGAAGCCACATGTTTCTTGTGCATCATGCCAGGTTTGGTTGTGACAGAGTCGGATGATTAGAGGCAGTACAGTTTTTGTAGGATAAAATAGGATTTGAGGAACAAAACCTTAGCTCCCCTCTTTGGTGGATATTTGGGTTAAGTCCAGTCCGCACATTATTGGCAAGCAGAAAAATTCTTTATCTAAGAAACCAAGATGCTTACACTGTCTATTTGAAGCTATATTCAAAAACCAACAATATTAATTCTGAATAGAAACAGCACTTATAATCTAAAAACAAATACCAGAAGTCCAAAGAGGGCAATAAATCTTGACAGCACGTGAGGAAGCTTCCCAAGTGATAAAGTTATGACAAGTGATCCCTCTGATATACTGTTGTTGATCTCACGAAAGATCCTTTCAACCCTATCATATACAGAAAGCATAAATCAAAAGAAAACAAATAAGCATCTGCAAGCCCCCAAAACATGAGATACAAACGACCCAATTCACAAGAAAAGCCATTCATACCAGAGTCTTCCTTCACCATCAACCAGGGAATGCAAAATTTTTTCAACACTGTAGTAGCATTCCTGAACTGCATATGCCATGTATTCGTCCTTACATATTCTATTCCAAAGATCAGCTTGTGTATCTTTGCAGTCCAAAGCCAAATCCACTGCCAATAAAATCTGGAGAAGTATATAATTATAAGACCTAGCTTAGTATGATACTAGAATTCTTCTGTAAATGGTAAAATGTTCTGCAGAAAGTCAATAAGTAATAAGATGCACCTTGCTGCTAAGAAGAAACAGCGGCCATTGAACTAATCTTAGACTTCCTGTGTTGCTTGGAACAGAAAGCAAGTCCATTTCCCTGGAAGCAAAACAAACATGGAGCAAACTGTGATTACAGAACAGCAAACACAAACAAATTTATGGAACAATAATAAAGATGCCCCTATCATCTACCTATTGCTGATATAATCTTCCTCACGCAAACTCTTGATTATCTCATTCCAGAAAGGAGCAAACATTGCTGCATATGCTTTGTTTGTATCCTGTGATTCCTATACAAATTCATAAAACCAAGATTTAGATTGTGCGTACGGGAAAATATATCAGCATTTAGTATTCTGCCTCCAAACATAGGAGGTTAACTCCCCACATAAAAGTTAGTTATATAAAGACATGCTTCCTTTTTAAATTTCAATATGAACTTTTCACCCATTAGCCTAAACTGTTTGTGAGATAGAATAACCATGTTTCAAAAAAGCACTCTGGATGTACCTAATGTTGTCATATGTAAACAACATCGACTAAAAAGGGCACCAACGGGGTGTCACCCAATTACAAGGAATTATATAAATAATAAAGAATTAACAAACCCTATAGCTCCTAAATTTCGGAAAGATTCCCTCTGCAGAAAGAATGTGACCTTCTAAACCAGTTTCTAATATGGATCCTCTATTTCCAAACCACCACCCCAACCCCCTCCCCTCCCCAACCCTTTCAAGTGCCCTTTTGTTGTGCTCTTTCCAGGTCACCCAAAAAATAACGGAGAATAATTTGTAACATTAGATTACTTCCAGAAAAAAATAGCTTAGAAGGGGGAAAAAATTGAAACAAATCACTTACTTGAGATGCTTGTCTGTTGAATGGCATCCTGCAGAACACATCAATCAAAAAATTACATAAGAGAGAAGATTGAGAAAATAGCAGAAATGTAAACCAAAAGCCATAAGGAATTTTTCTTTTCTTTTATCCACAAGTAAGAGTCGTTGAAAGTGAAGCCATTAGTGATCTTTAATCACAATATATCAAGACAGAAAATACTCTAAAAGACATCCAGTTCTAAAAAAACTGTTCAAAACTGCACACATCAATCCATGGTCCTTAACAAATTTATGCAGTGCTCGCAAAACCTATTTGCCATCCATGCTAGAAAAGCAGCAAGCTACAAAGTTTATGAACAAACATGTTTTGTACACAACCCAGCTCAAAAACTGCCCTAGTATTCCAAAAAACATAAATTCCGACACCAGAAGTGATTATGATAACATTTATCCAACATTTAATGGAGTATAAACACTTTTACTAGTGATCAACAACCCTCAAATTAAGAACCCACGAGTTTGACAATGACTTCACACCCATAATCCCTAATACAGCGCATTCCCATTTGCAAACAGGTTGGCAAAGATTTACCTTTGTGCATGTGGAGAGACAAGATTCTTGACAAAGGCCTCTGGGAAGCTCTCAAAACGTTTATGCACCATTTCAATACTACGTATCTGCCATTGGTCCAAATTGAGCAATGGAGGCAATAAGAATGATGATGGCAGGAGAAAATGAAATCAACAAAAATGGAAGCATCCGACATGCATTAGAAGGTCCAAAATAAAACATGTCTACTAGTTTCAAAGAAGCAATTCATGCTACTGTATATCTTGGTATCTGCCATTGGTCCAAATTGAGCAATGGAGGCAATAAGAATGATGATGGCAGGAGAACGTGAAATCAACAAAAATGGAAGCATCCAACATGCATGAGAAGGTCCAAGAAGCAATTCATGCTGCTGTATATCTTGGTATACCTCGCCTAAACGAGCTCGGGCACCCATCACACCTCCAACAATTGCCGATAAGATAGTGTACCATATGTGAATGTCCATGAGATAGATCTAAGAAGGGAACAAAATGGATTAGGAAAATGAAAATTTTGTAAGTCCTAAATAAGAAACAAATAGTTTTCTTCGACAAAAACTTAGGGCATGAGTGCTTTGCTTTCAATAAGATAAAGTCCTCAGTACTGAGAAAAGCCCGAAAATCATACCTAAGTTAAGGAAAAAGGCCTTTATTATATGCCAATATCAGGAAAGTGAAGATAAACATAAAGGAAGGACTCACCGCCACAACAGGAGCCCATAGGCTAGCTATGGTCAAGGCATTGTTATTATCTGCAAAAATCATGAGAATCAGTGATTTATACCAAAAACAGTTTGAATCAACAAGAAACATGAATAACAAGTTTTGTGTTATCAGAAAATGAAGTGCATAGAAAGACAAAGTAAATATGAATAGCAAATTATAGCAAGAATTCACATGACAATGTCTTTCTTAGTTGCCACTAAGAAAACAGCACCCCGGAATGACAGTGATCTTCAGGACCCAAATGAAAGACCCTTCACAGGGTAACAAATTCAGAATGCTATGACACACATTCTGCTGCTTTAATGTTTAGAAAGAGGGTTCACCAAAATTAAAATGGTAGCTTCTGTGGTTTTTCATCAGTTGAGTTTTTCTGACCCAGAAGTTCATCACATGCTACCAGAAAGTTATGAAATATGATTAACAATGATTTACGTAGTCCTACCAAACACCATGGTAGAAGACGAAGAAATTCATGAAAGCAAGGTTGAAGGGAAACTCACTCTTTGAGATCAAATCATGCCATGAGTAGGGCAAAGATGGAAGATCCCTGATCGTATTGGTTGGTTTAACAAGGGGTCTAATCTGCACAGGATTAAAAAAAAATACAAGTAAATGATATTTTAATGCATTAAACCTCTCTCTTGTTTAAAAGCAAAGCCCCACGTAATAATTATAATGCATAATTAACAGAAGCAAGATCAAGACACTATAGCTTGCCTGGAGAAAGTAAGCAAATGTGAATTTGCACGCAAAGATCACCAACCAATAGAGGACATATCTGAAGAGAGAGAAAACACAATATTAAGTGAAGCAATATTAAAATCAAATAGCATATGGCATATCAACTAATTCTTATTAATCACAATCTCTAATGTAAACCTTTGAAAATCAATTGGGAGCTTATATCGCTACATATGAAAACAGACAGCTACTCAGAATGAACAATGATTATATAAACATTGCAAGACGTGAACTTACTGGAACCAAGTCTCCATAAACACAGAAGCTGGCAAGCATATATGAACTGTAAATTTAAGCAATTCATATTTTGAACTCCATTCATATGCAATCTAACTAGCACATCCCAGGCCACCCATGCACCACAAACACACATCTTCACCAAATAGATAAATATCTCTAAATGCAAAGGAGATCAAAAAATTGATCAAGGCAACAAAATATTGTTTTACATGCAGACTCCAGATAACAACAAAAGATGTTTATCACAAAAGGAAAACTCTTTCCCAAGCAAAAACAAACATAGCCGTTAATGAAAATGAAGAGAAAACATAACATGAAAGCGTTACATCTATAGCGAAATGTAGGAAGAGGAATGCAACACCATATAGTTTATTACTGAAACAATAATAATTAGTATCATGAAAACAAACCTGCAGTAATCACTCATCTTCTCAAAAAGACCACGACCAACATAGTATCTTTCCTGAACCAAAAATAACTCACAAGTATAGGTAATCTGATACATTACCAAACAATTTATAGCAAAATGTTAGCAAAAGAGATTGAATGGAGCTTACCTGATAAATCCACTTGAAAAATTGGAAGAATGATTGATCAGACATATCAGACAGCTTATGACAAGCAGGAAACTTGAGCAAAAGATCAAGGAATAAGCGCAAAGCCGCATAAACACCCAACACAAGTATATATATTCGGAAATAGAACGAATCCGAGTTCTGTTGATTCTTTTCCTTCAGAACCTTCCTGTAATATTTTACCAGAGTTATAAACAAATACTTTTATATATGTCAAGCATACAAGGATAACGCATGTGAAAGCATGTCTTAGTAAACGTTATCAACTACTCACACATATAAGTATGTTACAAACACTGAGCTCAGGCCACACCAGAAAAACCTAATAACCAGTCTTGAGATAGCCATGCCTCTTGCAGTGGAGTAGGCCCCAAACATAAGCAGCACATCTAAACAACCTATGTACGCAACAAGTGACCAAACAAACAAAAGAAAGAAATGAGTACTAGAAAGAGTTCTTGGATATTTCATCTAAAATTAAATTCCAAAACCTTGGAGAAAGCATACTCTCTATGAAGTTCATCATGACAAATGAGGGCCCAATGCTTAGCATTTCTTTAAAGGTATCTAAATTGATATGTCCATGGTTAAAGGCTATAATCGTCAAAGCCTGAGGTCCACATGGCAAAGAACACAAATTTAGTTTAAATGAAACATCAGAGATCCAAGAGAAAAAATAGCATCCTGAAATTTAAAGGTGCACAAGACCTGGAACATCAGAGCCAAAAAGATCCAGAGCCGATGGAAACTTCGATACAAGTGAAGAAATGAGCGATGCTCAACAAAAGTGCTTTTACCAGTCTGTCAATTTGTGAAATGAAAATGATTAAAAAGCACAAGTAGGTGAGAGGAGTTGAAAAATAACACATATTCCCCTCAAAGCAAATTTGCCAAAAATTATATAATTGCATTAACAATCCAACAAATAGAAAGTGTAGCTAATTGTCATTAGTAAATTGCTTAAGACAAAATCTATAAACATAAACATCAGAAATTAATAGAAAGCTCCAGTATAAAAATGACACCACAGCTGTGAATATCTGCTAATCCAGAAACTTGACTGCTACACTTTGCTCACATGCCTAAACTAGTGCTTGACAATGATTCAAGAGAAGGTATTAGGTAACCCATATTCCAGGTGAAAAACATGTTACAAAACCCTTAGCATGCATGTATCAAAACAGGTCAGGACAGCTGATCAACATAACCACTCCACTGCTGCCATCAAGTGGTCAAAACATCCACAACTGGTGCAACATCTGACAATCTGACATCAAAGCTAAGATAACATGCTGAGCAGGTCATAGCTCCTAATGCATAGTTAATCTAGCCATAAAATAACTGGAAGCACTACAGAGCTAAGGAATAAATACATAAACTGTTCAACAGAACAAACATGCAAACTCGTCTGAAACATGGGAAATAGTGAGTGGCAACAACTACCATCGTGCAACCATCAATGGTTAGAAAGATGGCAAAAAGTTTTCCAATTCCCAAGAGAAAAGAAATCTTAAGGAGAAAGGGAGGAAGAAGAAAAAAATTCATGAGCTTCATGGTAATGTCAAGGTTCAAGAACAAATTATGACCTTTAAACCAAAAATTATAACAAAGAAGTTCCATATTTGGACCAGATTTATGATAGACCTGGCAAATTCTAATAACAAATATGGTCATCACGATACAAAATGGAGGTAGAATATTTGACAATGGGTGAACAGGAAACAGCAGAAGAAAACACATTTCCAAACACACAAGGGAATCTTACCACTAGGAACGCAAAACTATCAAAATTTACAGGTCACAGAGAGGCTATAAGAACTTAAGCTGAACCACTTACATTACAATTTCTTAGCATGAGTCAACTAGATCATGGATTGATGCATAGAAAACTCAACTCCAATACAAACTCATGCTCTTCAACAATAATTCAGCATCATAGTCATCTCTATGTGTAGAACATCAATCCCATCAAAATATCATTAAAAAGATAATTTTAATTCACCTTCCATGTATGTATGACAATTTTTTCACCAGCCATGCTCTAAGGACACTAATATTATGACTTATTATGAGGTCTCGTATCAAAGAACACAAGTTCAAATGAAACTTAAGTTCAATGTCAATATCATCCTTTAAATATTTAGGCATGTCAAAAAAAATTGCATCAATGAGGTTTCAATTTCAATATACCATAAAAAAGGGATACCAAATTTGGGAAACTTATGGGAACATATCATCAAAACAACCTACCCTTTTTGACTTCTTAGGTTTCAACAAGAATGAGGAATTTTTTCTCATCGGCCAGCTCAACTCGAAGCAAGCAGGGGACCTGCATATACATTGCAAGTGTTAGAAAGAAAGATGATTCAAAGTCTGTACTGAACCAGGCAATCATAAAAAACCCTAAACAACAAACCAAAAATATTCATTGAAGTCATCATAATTCCTCCATGCTGAATGTGCAGCTTTTCCATTATTATTCCTCGCAGCCTCCTGCAAATACAAACTATCTTATAAGAGATTCAGAATAATTAGCAAAATCACAAGAAAAATTGTTTAATGCCTCACATGAGGTGTCCTTGAAATTATTTAAAGTACCCAAACAGATTCAGCCTACTGAGATGGAAGGCATCAAAATTGCAATGATATTTTTAAAGAAAACTAAAGAAGAGAATACTCACAATTCAAATAAGTCCACTGGACTCCCCCCCCCCCCCCCCCAAAAAAAAAATATATAAAATAAAAATTATGACATGCATCAGCCACTTGACCCCCTCAAACACTACACCTCTTCCCATCCATAAACTGCACATCAAACATGAAAGAGCAACTCATGCAATTTACCCAATTCTATTGCCCAGTTCTTCCATCTTAACTTTCTATAATCCTTCAAGGAACAGATTGGAAGCAGTCAACACAATCCAAACAAATTGAAAATAAGGGACTAAATCTCCCTGTGACTGCAGATGATTGATCAATTGACTACTCTTTCTCCCACATAAGCAGATCACAATAGTTGCATCTCTTCATCAATAAATCAATGGTGGGTATTACCTGAAGATCAGATTTACAAGAAACCCACCTTCTTGGGCACCTGGGTTCATCAAACCGATACAACACCACCTTCACCAAAATGTTTAAGCAGCCTGGGGCCAGAAAAAAATTGGATTTACCACAATCATTTATCACTAATTCAACAAATCTCCTCCAATTCAACTCAAATTCAATCACTGAGAAGATAAACAAAAGCAAATGTTAACCATAAGTCAATCCTGAAAACCTAAATTTGGGAGACTAATGAGCTGAAACAATGGGCCAGCTTTAAGTAGCTAGCTACCATAGTCCAGTCAGAGATTACAGGCTCAAAGGATGCCTTCCGCAATAAAATTTACTAGGAGCAGCATGTCTCTTCCCCATTAAATTAGTTTGCCTCCTCAAAAAATCACAACGCAAACTAACATGCTTCCCACAATCCAATGCTATGAAACCTTCTAACTGAAGCACCAGCATCAAGACCAAACCCTACCACCAAACTGCCCAATTCCAAAGGCTGTTGTGACTTGGTAACAAACACAAAAGCAACACTTCACTACAACTGCAGCATTCTAGTCAACAGAAAACCACTTTATTCTTGTTGTTTGTGTTAGCTAGTAGTCGATTGTAGAGAAGTAGACAGCCCAATTCTACCAAGTGTATTAAATTAATCAAAACATCCCCGTGTGTTCTCTATCTTTAACAAGCCTCAAAGGTAGAACCAAACCAAATATAATGAAGAAGACCAAGTACAAGCCTACAATCCAAAGTAGTTGCCCTCAGGTATGCCAACTAGAACCACCTCACTTGTCTGAGTTAACGTTTGATTCCGATCAGCCTCAAAAGTCTAAATAGGCGAAGGTGATCAATGTGGCCCAATGCAAGATAATAGTATCATCTATGTAATGATATGAGATTAAAAACTCCCAAACTTGATCAGTGCAAAAAATAACACATCGATCCAACAGAACCTTTCTGCCCCTAAACATATCTAGCTAAGTAGCCACACAATCAACCCATAAATGAATGGGGAAAAAAAAAGAGGCAATTTTATATGTTTTCTTCAATCAACACAAGTAATATGTGGTTTCAAAATTAGAGAAGCCATCAAATAGTTCCTCAATCCAGGCATGTGGCTCTTAATCAAGTTTCTTAAGACATGAGATACCCGGCTGTAAATCGAAGAGCAGACACATCTGCGTATCTCAGCATGGTTGCATAAAATTTGCATACAAGTAATAACTGCCACTCAATCACAGTAAAAATTCTTCAAGCATATAGATAAATGAAGTCCATAAGTCAGAAAGTGACGAGTAGAACATACCATATTCTTTTTGCATTTTTGATAGATAACAATGCATAACTATATATGTAGGCTTCAAGAAGGTTTGCCCATTTACAGGTCTATAATGACTATAAATAAAACATGACTACATCACGTACAAATACATGCAAAATAAAAATACAAATGTCTCCTATCTTAAGATGATTGCAACAATATAAAAACAATAACAATTTTGGACTACTGCATGCACAAACTCACCAAACATGAACCAAAGCACATCTAATTTCACTTTCGCTATAATATGAAATAATAAAAAATTTCCCCAACAGAGTTTCATATTAAGTTCCACTGACCTCTGCCATTGTCTCGTATATAGGACAAATGATTTGCTCAAGGAAAGACACAGAACCACTTTCCGTTATACAGCTGGCAGCACGATTAGCTTCGCCGTGATCCAATATTGCATCCAACTCTTTGGCCATCTAAAAAAGCATGACTTAATATGTTATCATAAATTATGAAAAACAAATATCATAGGAAAAACAAATTTGTGATCTCCTCAAGAATGAGCAATGATATTCTCAGGGCTTATATCACATAACTTTCACGAGCTTCCAAAGGTTTTGGTTGCTATTCTCAGAACCTAAATCTAGAAACTGCAGCTTTTAGGGGAGCAAGTATTTCCTGGGGTAGCACCATGGCCCTGTTTCCATAAACCCACAATGTGCCGCAATATAACTTCTCACTCAGAATAAAGAATCTTGGCATCCAGAATTGATCAATAATTACTCCTAAAATCTACTAGGGATAACCTATTTCTCACCACCAATAGCAAAATGCCTATTTCACATATCCGATGCCATAAAACCATTCAGAATGGGTGAGGAAGAAGAGCTGCTTAGAATCAATCATTTCAAATTGCACCCATAATGGCACAGACAAGAGTGGAAAAGTAGTCGGGAATAATTTACAGCCTAAAATAGCCATAAATGATTTGGTACATTAAACAATAAGTATATCGACTATGATAAGAAAAGAATGAGTTAACATTGCGGACGGGTGGTAGGATAAAGTTCGAACAAAGCAAGGAGCAGGAGCAGTGATGAACTAAGAAAGAAATGGTAAGACAAAGTAGTAAGGCTTACATGATGAAATATGTAGCAAATGCACTCTGGGAGAAAACGAACATTTGCAGCTTCACCCCATACAAGAAAATATAGTGATACCAGAAAAAGCTTCCTGTCCCTATTAATTGCTTCAATACTGTAGGAAACAAATAAAGCTCAGACCAGTAGCATAAAAAATAACTCTTTCAGGTTAACAGAAGGCTCCAGACCTATTCCAAGCAAGGCGTATCCGCAAGTATTTGCACCATTTGATGTAGTTATCCAACGCCTTCAAGAAAACATCATTGATGGCTTTCTCATCAATTTTCTGTACATGGCAAAAAGGGAGAAAGCAACCACTTAGAATCCAACCAACTACACTCCCATGTCCAGATTAGAAACTATAAACAATCGAAATAACCCTCCCATACAAATCAAAGCATATAAAATACTAAATCCAAACTGCAAAGTGAGGAATAGCAACAAAAGCGTCGCAGAATGATAATGACATTAAATATTTGATTAGTTCTAGCTTCTACAAATTTTAGTACATTCTTAAAAGGCAACATAATTGGAAAACCATCAACAGCCATCAATACAGATTTTGAGAATCCAGTCATCAAAGTGCAGAAAGCTAGGCATTTTGTAAAGTTTATAAATGTTGGTACAGTTTTGTTTTGCATAGAAATCAGACAGTTAAGAGTTGAAGCCCATAAATGACAGGTAAGCAAATACAGCTATCTGGATGTTCCAATCTTACTTAAACTTGTAAAACCAATTCAAAAGTCCTTAATTTGATCCTAATCAATTGAAACTGATCCAATGAAATAAAAACATAAAAATTATCTGTTGGCATATAAATTAATAAAATAAGAAAAAAAATTCAAAAAAATTAATCCAACTAATTTTTTTCTTTGATAATTCAATGGGAAGGGAGATTTGAACTTACAGCCTCTTCTTTTAAGGAGAGGCTGTCAATTATAACATTCCTAGGCCACTTTATTCTAACTTTTTTATTACAAGGAATTAAAGAGCAAAGCAATCAGAATAATGCCTGCCAAAATAACAAATAATAATATAAATCTATATGCAAAATGATGAATATTACAACCCCAATGACTTGGGAAGGAAAATGATAAAAAGATAAACAAGTTTCGTCACTCCAAAATACTCACCGGATCTGCCTGAATGGGTATGCCAAGTCGAGACTGCGCATTTGCTATTGTAAGAATAACATTTTCACGCTGATTCCTTATGTTATCATTCTGCAAAAGAGAGAGGGAAGGGAGGAGGTTATTGACCAGGGTAAAAAAGGAATGTAGCATTTGGACATTGATTCTTAATACATGTCATAAAAAAGACTATTGACTGCTTGCATTTTCACAGACAGCTAAGATTTTCCAGATTGTTCATTTCCCTCAAGCTTTATAATAATAATAAAAATTGAATTGCTAGCAAATATAGCTTTTTATTCTAGGCACAACTGCAGTTTCTTCTTTTAAGCTCGCGCTCACACAAATTAATTAAGCTAATGTAGACTAATTAAGAATGTTTAATCCAATAATATCTTTTCTGGAAATATATTTTTTTTTCTAAATAAAGGTAAGAAAAGGAAACAATACGTGGAGGATAAGACAGACTCAGCCACCACAAAGGAAGTAAAATAAAACAGATGCCTAATCTGTCTGTATATCAGCAAAAACATTCCCTTCAACATTCAAAATGCAGAGCATTGTAGAGAACCATGGAAACCACTCCATCCCAAAGTACCTACTTGGATGGTTTTCTTAAATTCTTAAAATTGCCTGTTGGAAAGAGCAAATCAGTTACCAAAACAGCAAAGAACATACTCCACATATTCTACATCAACAAACAACGCAAGAAATTAAAAAAAAATTAAAAAAAAAAAAAAAAGAAGAAGCCCCTTTGTTTCACTACAACACAAAGAACAAAAATTGTGAGACAATAGCACATTAAAATTTTTGGATAAGAGAAATGAGCATTGTTCATGAAGATGAACAGACTTTTTTTTATATTAGACAACAATAGAATGTCTTAATAGATAGAAAGGGAAAATGAGGTATAAATTAGAGGATAAATCCATGGAAATTAAAAGAATACAAGAAATCACATAAAGCAACACCATAACAGAACAATACACCAGGTGCCGCTGGATATATCTGCAGAAGACACTCCTGAAAGACATTGTGCCGAAGCAAAAGACCATGAGAAATACAAGAGCTTTGCCATATTCCAAAGCAATTCACTCAATAGGGGTTTGTGAACACATGCAAAAGATTTTTCGATCAAATAGTGCACATAACAGTAAACAAAGGGCACCTCCATAAAATTCTATGCTACTTCTCCATCCCATAAAAAAAATAAAAAATAAAAAATAAATAAAATAAATAAAATAAATAAAAAGCATAAAAAAGGCATCCTTGGAATAGAAATATAAATCTAAAACAATAAAAAAATTGGAGCCCTCCTTCCCTTTGAATGGTGACAAACTCAGAAAGGCCAGGCAAAGAAAGCAATTCTATCCCACAACAATTACGTGATACGAGTTTGATTTCTGAAAATTGTCTAAAGTTTTGCCATATGAAACACCAAAAAATAGCAACAATGATATACTTTTAACATCTTTTATTCCACTCTCTCCCAAAACCCACTAAACAGATTATAACAGCTACTCCCCCATAATTGGAATGGTGAAATTTTCACCACTAATAGAATGAAATCTATTCCACATTCCAAGACACTGGAAAATGCAAGATTAATATATCAACATGAGAAAATAGCTTGGAATTTTAATTGGTAAAACAATTTCAAAATGATTGATCACACAAAATGAATCACAGAGAATACAATTGATAGCAAAATTCAATATCAAAACGCGCCAACAATTGCAAAATGAATCTCCAGCCAGAGTTTCTTCGAAATCCAGCCAAATAAAGGCACCAATAATGTAATAATTTAGCAAAAAAAAAATTTACATTAACTTTATTATTCACTTTTTTTTTTAATATTCCATAGAAGCTATTCCCAATTTCTAATGAAATTTTTATTAGGACAGGGAGAAAAAGGTGAAAAAGAGGAAGATGACACCAAACAAAGAAAACATGACAAAATAAACATGAAATAGTATGTACTTGATAAATAAAATGAATATAACTAACAAACTCCTGTTGACAAGCAGAACTTTAATATTATACATTTGCAATTCTCTGCTTCACTGAAGCACTACAACCTTTATTTGAAAATTAAAATGAGATGATTAAAAGAGACATCTAAACAAACCTGAAAACCAAACACATATTCAAGAAGATCAAACACATCTACTTCACGTTCTCCAGGAATCTCAAAATCAGCAGGAAGTCTGGGGTAATGCTCAGCATATCTAATGGCTGATATTGCACCTCTAATCTGGAAAAATTACCCCCAGCAAACAAATATAAGACTTTTTCATGAAACTTGAATTGACTGTGCTTAATGCATCTCTAATTCCTTGAAGAAAAATTTTTAGATTGTGAATAGAAGTGAGTAGAAGATGGAGGCATGTAAACTCATTTAAACATCACCACCAAAGAATGTGGCATATCTCATTTAAAGATCAACTTACTTCAGGAAAAACTCCAATAGCATTTGTTAATGAAGGTGCTTCCAAAGGGACAATATTATATGATGCGAGTTCCCCAGCCCTTTTAATTCTTCGTAGCTGAAAAAATTCAAGACCAAAAGACATGTCAATCAATACCTTTAGATTTCAAATTTACAAAACACCAAACAGTCTTTTTTTGAGCTTCTGCATTTGGTGAGAAACAATAATCTCTCATCATCAATTTTTCCTTTTTATTCGTATAAAAGATCGGCTCCTATTTAAAGAGAGAAGAAAATAACTTTTCTATGGAGAAAGATCATTTCTTTTTTCGTTTTTTTTTTCAAACAACCATCCCATATTATATGGATGCAATAAAATCCAAGCCCATGGAACCAGTTCACTTTAGCAGATTATAGGGTTCAATTTAGCAAACTCTAGCATCTGCAAGCCCTACATTTGCATGAATGTGAAAGGTAGAAACAGACTCAACTATACAGCACGTACAAACAAGTTTAAACAGCAACATAACTTGATAGTCCATATAGAAAAGCAGGTAGGAGACAAGTACCTCCTCCATGATCTGTCTGCCAACCCCATGAGGATCTGCATCTTTACTGAGTACTTCCATGACCTCTACTAAGGCCCTTAAGGTAGCAAATACCTTTTTCATCTCTAGTGATCTTAGCTCAAACCTAAATTACAAGACAATGTTACAGATGTTGATCAGTGATGCAAATGCATATTCAAATTCACTAACGAATAGGAGAAAGAAAGTTTTACACCAGTTTACTAAGCCGTATTGACCCGTATAGCAGCAGTAACTTACAAAAATGTCTAACCAGAGATTGTAACCATAATTGATTGTTATTAAAATCAATCACTGAACGACTTTAAAAATTACATGACAAAGGCTAACAAAAAAATTACACAGCTCATCTGAGTGGCCTTCTAATATCCGCCCAAAGGGCAATAATATACATGGTATCGAATAAAAAAACCAGATGAACAATGACAAATTCAAATGGACCCAATACTCAATATGTCCGCAGAAAACCACTCAATAAAAGATAATAAATAATGAAGGATGCCACAGTGCAAGTGGAGCAAAAATTGTTGACTTAACCATGCCAATAGTTTTGAAGCTCCAGAGAAGATTCAATTCAATTGCAATCTATATTAGGGAAGAAAAGTTTAGTCATACTCTCCGAGATTAGCAGTGGAAAAAATTCCAGATTCCCGCGACTTTTGTTCCTCTCTTTGGATATCATCCACTCTATGCCGTCTCTTGTAGTGCTGGTAAAACTCCCACAGGTGTTCAATATCCCGATTGCGATCTATACGGGAACCATCCTTTTTGGCAAGTTTTTGCTGCAACAAATGGTGAACTCATCAAAACTCAAAATAAGATTTTGAAAAACAATCTGCCTGAGTAAGCTGATCAAGGGCGTTACCTCACTAAATTCAAGATGGCAGAAACAATAACATTCTACCCTAATCCATTAGCACCAGTCACAAGCTAAATTTTAGGCATACCTGAATAACAGACATCAAACCAGTCTTAAACTGGAGAACACCACGACCATCACTGTTTGGGTCCAAATTTTGTGCCATGGTATATGCTTGCTCACACACTGAAATTGAAAGGTAAAAATTGTATGACTATTTTCAATGTTCAAAAAAAGTAAAACAAAAAATACACTCATGCACAGGGAATTATTAGAATCTTTGAACCCTTAGCATATGCTCCAGGAAAAAAAATATGAACATCCACAAGCTCAAGTTAGCTTTCAGAAAAGTTAGTAAACCACAGGAAATATGTTCCAGTTCAAGAGCTACCATGACTCAGGTATCAGAAACATCATTGCACCTCATTGGATGTTCCAAGATTGGTAGAAATTCAAAAGATTATATCAGAGTTGAATTTGATTACAGCTAATATTTGAGTTTGAAGTGAAACAAACAAAAACTAAGGATTGAACTGCTCTCACGTTGATATATTCTACATTGAACATATAAAAAAAAAGGTAACAGGATTTAGGTATCGATGACATTGTATCTGCTATCTACGTATAAACAATTGAGTTTCACATTAGGGCAGTAAATTTCTTCCAATTCATTACATATTCAAACTGCCTAACTTTAATCCATTCAAAGAACAGTCTAGCCAAATCAAATTCAGATCAACTGAATCCTGCACCATCTTGAACCCATCGCTAATAGCTGATGCAGCAGTACGTTCTTTTACTAAATTTGAAAAAGCCTCCTAATACCCTCAAAGCTTCCCACCTGAATCACAGTACACAGACATTCCTCGCAACAGATCATCGAAAAAACCATTCTCTTCCTGTTTCCGGCACTGTATATTTGCTAAACTCTACACTATAAAGTAAACCCTTCAGCAATCAGTTCTCCTCAATCATGCCACACCCATAATAACCAAGATCATAACCATCGTTTAATCCCATTTGATATTCCAAGTTCCAAGACATATACTGGAATTAACTCATTACTTGTTTAATTTAAGGAAACAGCTGTCTGGTTAAATTCGTACTCCAGCCTTCTTTTAAAAAATAAATAAAACCTCAATAAACTAGTTAATATCAGTGTTAAATAAAAAAAAAATCACTAATTATGCAATCCCAACGTCACTTGACTAGAAAAAATACAACTCCAAAACTCCAATTTAACACTGCAGAATCCACCATGATCAACTCCAAAATATTGTAGAAAGAAAAGACAAATTAACCGAAATAGAAAATCTTTAAGAAAAAAACTTACAAATTCTGGCGACGTTAGGGTCTTCCTCTTGAATCTCATCAGCAGCCTGCAAAATCGCGTCAATATTTGTCGTACGGACAAGCGAAGGAGGCACAGCTCCAGCAATACCACTAGGTGTTCTCTCATGACCTCGACCTACACTACTAAGCTGTTCTCTCTTCAGCGTCGCCCTCACCAACCTCTCCCAATTATCGCTAACTGGAGGCATCGTTAACAATACGGGAGAATCAAATCAATCCAGAAATAGAAAATTTAAAACCCTAGATAATGAGGAACTGTAACTCGGGCTTTGACTCGGCCCAAGTTGGAGAATTTAAAAACTCGATCGGTGCTTTATTCTTAGATCTGTGATTCTCATTCGTGTTCGAAAACAAAAAAAATAAATGGAAGTTGCTTCTTCTTCTTTTTATGATTTTTGAAAAAGAGGTTTAAAGGAAGAAAAGAAAAGAAAAGACAGCCAAGACACGGAGCTAGCGGGAAAAGGCAAATGGGAAAGGAAGATGGGGAGACAGAGTGGAATTACTGGTTTGGCCCTGTAGAAGATACTGTGCGGTTTGGTGCATTGGGGTTGGGGTGGTGGCTCCTTTGGGAGAGTTGGATTAGTGGTCAGGTTTCTCGATGGTTTTGTGAGGGATTCGATTGGGGATTTTGTTTGAGGTTTTTTGGTTGTTACGCGTGGCGCAGAGGATTTTGGTCTTCCACGTGTGAGAGTAAATTTTCTTTGGACGTGGGTAAATTGTATTTGTATACAAGAAACCAAAGGACACGAAAGACTAATTCTTAAACGGGAAGAATCTGAAAATTTTGGGAGGTAATTAAGAATAAGAGAAAAGAAGAGGACTAGAATCTCTCATTTTTAGAAAAATAGGGCATATGAGAGTAAGTTGAACTTCGATAACAAAAAATTGTTTCTTAATTAAAAATTAAGGAGATCTAACATCTCTTTCTCCAAAATAGTACAAGTTGCTATTAAGAGGTAACAAACTTAAATTAGCTGTACTGTTATCTTTTATATTGTTTGAAGTTGTTGATTGTAGCTATTAAATAATTTTTTACTAAAATAAAATTGAACAATTTGAATGCTTTAGACATGGGATGGGTATGTAATGAAAATAAAGGTTTTTACGATTAAGTGTTAATTATATGAGAAAATGTATAAGAAGTGGATTGTCTTGGACTATGGATTGGACGTATAGTCTTGCAATTTAATAAAAATAAATAATTTTCGAATTAAAATCATAAAAATTTATCAAAACATATCAAGATATCTTGACGAGTAATATGTAGCTTTGAGTCTTTTTTCAACAAATTCTTAAAACATGTCGAATTTTTATGCGTTGTTTGGTAATATAAAATAGAATAGTAGAAATAAAAATAAAAGTTATAATCTCACTTAATGGGCATTACAAGAAAATGGGCGATTAGCTACGGATTGTGTTTCATCACTAATTAGCTACTAAATAGCGAGTCGAATGATGATAAAATTAAAAATGTAACAATTTTGTGATGGATCTATGATAGAATTGCAATAGACAATTAACAATGAAAATAATTTCGTTGCTAAAGCACGCTATAAAATATATGCGTTAATTTTAGTGATAGAATTACAATCAATCGACAAAGGAATACCATTTTCGTCGCTAACAAACATCCTTAGATTAGCGATAGATTATATCTACCACTACATTATTATTCCATCGCTAATTTCCCAAATTTTTGAAAAGTTTAGAAAATTGGGTGCTCATTTAAAATTCAAATCGGCGATGGAATAACGTTTATCGCTAATCCTAAATTCCTAAAATTGACGACCTTCTTTTCCACCTAAATTTTCCCCCTTTCCCTCTTCTCCTCGTCTCCTCTTCTCGAGCGAGTCGCCCTCAGCGACCCCACTCCCTTTCCAGCCACCCTACTCCCTCCTTAGTACACTCATTCCGAAAAGGTGCCCCTCTCTTTCCAAAAACCATCACCCTACAACCCAAATCGCCACACCATTCAAGCCTAAGTAGTCACCATCCTACCGATGTCAATCAATTTAATGACCTCTTCACTATACCCGTAAATAAATCCCTCACCATCATTAGTGGAGAATCAATTTCGTAAGACAAAAAAACTTACAACAAAGGAGGAGAATCGGTGAAAATTTTGAAAAAAAAAATCAAAGAAGGATAGTAACCGAAATAGAAAAAAGAAGTCAACAAATTTTGTAAAAAACGAGAAATTTACCTATTTTTGGAGCGACGATCAACCATCATCCTTAACCAATCCTGCTAGGTAACCTCCTTAATCTCTCTTTAATTTTAGTTTATTGTCAATTTAGGTTTTGTTTTAAAATTTGGAGATTTTTTAAAATCGAATTGAAATTGGTTAAAGGAATAGAAATGAAGTCTAATTAAAGTCAATTAGAGTTTCAATTTGGGGTTTAACCCTAAATTGAAGTTGAATTGATCTTAATTAAAACCTAGGGTTCCTGAATTTTTTTAAAAAAAAAATAAATTAGGATTTTCAAGAAATTGGATCCCGAGGTGTTTGAATTGACTTGATTTCAAGAGAAATCAAGCTAATTAAAGCCAATTGAAAGAAAATTTTGAAGAATTGAAAAGTTAGGATTCGGACAAATTGGGAAAGAATTTTGAAAAATTGATTTGGAGGTTTTTTATTTAAGAGGGAAGAAGTTTGGGAGTAAGAAGGAAAAAAGAGAGGATGAATGAACGAATCGAAACCTCACATTCGTTCCTTCATAAGCGAATCCGAAAAGAAATAAGAGGAAGAGAGAGAGGATTCGAGTAGAGGAGAAGGAAGAGAAAGGAATGAGATGATGAGAAGAAAAAGAAAAAAATAAGGAAGAGAAAAGAGTGAGGGTTCTTATGCAAACAATGTAATATTTGAGAAACCTTTTTAAAAGGAAACTACGGAGTTCAAAGAGTAAGGCGTACAATCCATCTAAGTCGAAAGCCTTGATAATTATAAGCCCAATATTTTAATTCATCTACCGAATCCCGGCTTAGACGTTGTGTAGATGAGAAAACGAGTAATAGTATGGTGAGTAAATTGGAGTTGGTGATCTTATTCTTCATCACTAATAAGGCAAAGGTGGATTTTGTCTACCTCTCGGCTAAATGCTTCTTGGCGATCAAGAAGTCGAATGAAGACAACATTATTATTGGTGGGTTCATTACCCATATTATCAAAAAATTGAAGTTGTTCAATCAAATAACCACCATATTAGCACCAACGAAAAGGATCCAATCACATGAATATTGAAAAATTGGTCAAGATTGGGTTGTTGAGAAAGAAAAAAGATATCTCGTCTTGTCGAACAAGAAACGACGACAAGATGAGTTAAATGAGCCAAGTAATAGTGATAACGATGGAGATGATGAGGCTCCATAACTAGATGAATAGGTTTCATAAGAGGGTACCTCGAGTGCCCCATTATACACGATGGAGCAACCGGCCTCGTAGTTAGGTGATTTTCAAATCAACTACAATAGCCAGCTTGACCTTTTAGACGAGTAAATTCAAAACGTGGATAATAATGTGATAGCTAAATTTCACATGGTCAACACCTAGGTCACCCATCTCTACAATGCTTTCACAACACATTTTTCCACCACTTCGGCACCTTTGTTCCGAGTGTTGCCATCTAGATTTGATCTCTTATCCCTTATCTTTTATTTTATGATTGATAAAGTCTCGTTGAACATTGACTATTGAACATCGAAGATAATGTTCAATTTAAGTGTAGGGGTATAAAGGTGCATTTAGCATTTAAGTTTTTCTTTGTATTGTTTTTATGTTTATCTCGTGAATTTTATATGTTTGTTTTAAGTTATTCTCCTTTTTAAAAATGAAAAATAAAATAAAAGAGAAAAATGAAATAAATGTCATGGTTTAGTGTGATATTCTTCTTGATTGATATATGATGATGAGTTTGATAAAATTTGATGAGATGATCGAGATTGTTTGTTATAAAAATGCATGCATGCTAGAAAGTTTTATGTGTCTTTATAATTGAATATGAATTAGGTAGTGATACCGACTTGTTGCCTTTTAAAAACTAGACATAAGCACGGTTTAAACAAATGAGATTTTCTAACTTTTATGAAATTTGATAAAGAAATTTGAAAGACATTCCATTAGAAAAATTTAGCCTAATTAAGTAAAAATTCTACTATAATGATTTGAGTTGCTTAGTAACTAGGAGTATTCATCATAAATATTTACTTTTACGTCAAACAAGTAATTCAAATTATGAGTATGCAAAGCACTCTAGGTTGATGACTTGCTAAATAACCCGTTACCTTCATCACAAATGTTGCTAGTCGCATAAAAAAGTAAGTAATCGCTTACAAAAAAGCTATTAAAGGCCTTGAAAAAGGTTGGGATGCTTAAAAAAAGTTTTGATTAAAGAAAATCTCGGTTTATTGTTTTGCTTGTAGTGATGGAAGAGGGGTAAAGGTAAAGTTGATGTTGCATGCTTGACTTGTGTCCGCTTATAAAGATGCATAAATCAATTTCGAGACATGCATTGATATAATAATAATGTTTAAAATATGATCGATATGATTTTTAGATTTTGTTGGATTCTAAATTGAGCATCAATGTTTGAAGAATAATCATACTAGTATGAAATTTGTTTGAGCTATTTTATGGGTTTATCGTCTAAAAGCCCTTATGCGACATAATTTGTCCACTAAGAGTAACCTAAGGGTTTAAAGGCTTATTACATGTGTTAAATATAATTATGATTCTTACAAAAATAAGTTAGTTTTTTACTTCATTTGTTTCACTCAATGACTAACAAAGTTTAAGTGTGGGGTTATTTGATGAGTGCATAATTAGCATAATTTTTATTCTCTATTACATTAAAATTTCTAATATTTAATGTATTATATTAGATTAATTAAGATCAAGATAATGATTTTAGGTTTTATAGAAGAAATGGCAAATTGGAGCAAAGGAACCTCAAACCAAACTAGGGAGAAAAAAGTCACCAATAAGCTTAGATGAGTCAAACGATCGTGGCATTTGCAAAGGAAAACAACTACTAGTTGTGTGACATTAACAAGACCACATGAGCAGGAGCTTTCCACATGATCGGATGAAGGAATTCAACACATCTATATGTATGTTAAAGCTAAAGATACATTTCAAGAGAAAAAAGCAAGTATATGGGCAAAAGACTTTTACACAATATGTAGTAAAGACAAGACACATCCATGTGCATTGTAACAAAAAGAATAAAGTAACAAAGGCACACGGGCAAAACAAATTTACATAGCTTAAAGGTAAAATTCTACACGTGTAGAATAAAGAGATATGAGATGAAGGAAAAAGGCACATGATCATGTGTCTTTATTTGGTAAACTATGCAAGACCTTCTAATCAAGGCTCTAAACCATGTGAAATTAAGCGACAGATCGTGTATATTTACTAAGCAAATCGTGTGACTATATGGAGTTGACACATATGTGATGTAACCCTACTTTTAGCTATAAATAATAAGGTTAAGGTTTTATTTCGGAATTCTAACTTTCAGCAGACCATCATAGATAGAAAAACTTTCCATTATAACCCATTATGAATAACTAAACATCCATCTTAGTTGAATCAAGTTAAAGCTTTTGGTTAAATCATTATGAGATTACAAGTTTGTATTCTAAACTTATCTTATTTGAGTATTTTATGTTTTTTCTATATGGTTGATTTA